ACCGTGGGGATGGGATAGAGGGGGGGAAAGCTTCATGTTTTCCCTTGGACCCGCCGGCTAGGGGGATCGGAAACACAATTTGGGGGACCCCATCCGCCGCGGGATCCGCCCACCCTATCCTTTTGCGCTTCAGGCAAACCTCGGAAAACCGCCAGTCTTTTTGGGGTAGGTGGTTCCGGATTTGCCGCTTTGGACGGTACGGTGTATGGAATTTTACTGTAATGTAAATAGGATTGATTTCTGAATGGCATTGGCATTTTAAAAAACGTCTGATTTGCGAAATTAAAAATTGGGTTTTAGCTTTTTAAGTTTTTCAATGCCACGGTCCCTAAGCAATCTAACTTTTTCGATTTTTAAGCGGTTTCCGGATAAAGAGAGGTTTCAGATTCGGCACTGATCACATCAACTAGAACCGCAATAATACCTAATCTTCTTAATCTATATGATCATCTCTACATATGTATTTTTTTGATACCTTCTTCTTCCTTACCCTCCGTTCCATCGTATGCTGCTATTTATTCTGCCCATGCTCTTTTAAATGAATCCCAAAGCTCGCCCTCCAGCACCACGTAAACACACATACGTTATTTGTGTAGTTTTTGGTGTTCTGGGGCACGGGGTATTTTCGGTGGATACATATGGGAAGGGGAATAGGCAAGTAGAGGCAATTTTGAGCGGTGTATAAGAAGATCTAAAATTTTGATAAAAATACATTTTTCTGTATACCTTTTCATGACAATTTGTGAGGTATTGCAAGTAGCACCTAGACATAGTCAAAAAAGCCGAAAAGCCTTCCTTCATCCAAAATTCAAACAAAATTGGCTACTAAATTAAAGTGTTGGTGTCCCCCCAATAAAGTTTCCTCCCCCCTGATAATGCGAAAGAACCGGCTTCGCTTCGTTTAGGCCTTTGAAAAGGCCCTCCAAAAAGACATCTGGAACAAACTGGCCCAAAACTGGCCCTAATCGACCCTCCAAAGAGCACGCATTTTCTTGTCTATTCCTCCCACTCCAGCCATTTCAATCTGCGCGCTCAGTGGACCGGACGAAATTAGGAATTCGGAGGTCTCGGAACATTCGGGAGTTCTTTTCTTTTAAGCATCTTTCTTCCTTCCTTGCCCATTTTTTTACTACCCCATGTCTACTTTTGAATGTGGGCGAGGGACCAGTCGGGCCCTGGACTGGGCCACATACAAATCATCCGCTCAAGAATGTTGCCGTTCCGAGCGGGGGGGGAGGGGTGGTCTCGAGAGCCCATCCCCGAGCACAAAGGACCCAATTTAAGCCCCTTCGCAAAAACCGTTTTTTTAGGCTGGGTCACCGTCATTGAGGATTCATTCGGAGTCTGGGCAATTCAGAAATTGGAAAAAGGCTCTCATGTGTTTTAGAATTTTTTTAGAATTTAAATTCGTAATATAACCGTAGTGAGTGACAATTTTTTCCTACAATGTTTTTGAATAATTTGACCAACTGGCTCTCTCACTCACTATCACTCTCTCCCTTACTCTCTCTCTCTCTCTCTCTCTCTCTCTCCTCTCTCTTTTCTCTCGATCACCCCTGGCTCCCTCTCTCTCTCTCTCTCTCTCTCTCTCTCTCTCTCTCTCCCCTCCCTCCCTCCCTCCCTCCCTCCCTCTCACGCTCACTCTCCCTCTATTTCTCTGATTCGATTAACCCTCTTTGATTATAATGCCGTAATCGATGACAGTTTGGATCTCTGCAAAAACGGGAAAAAGCTCTAACCTGAATTTTGCCTATTTGCACACATGTCTCCGCCACGACACAACTTCTGTGTGAGCAGCACCTGTTTGCTCAAAAAGTCTTTTACAATCTATTTTAAACAATCTGGCCGTGGCAACAGCTGCTCTGGAATTTCCGCAAAAAGATTCTGCAGGTTGTAATTTGAATCCTGTACCCGTTTCAGCTAAGCATTTGAAAAACCGGGGCTGGATTTTACCGCAAAGTATGAAATCTAGGTTCGGGTGCGGCTTTGAGCTAGAAAAATACGAAAGTCATCTATGACCAGCACTTGCAAAATTCGACCCGTCACCCCCCACGTATTCCAGCATGCTTTCAACATCCGTAGTAACCGCAATCCAAACACCAACCCATCAATGAATCCTCCTTTTTCCGGAAATGTCCTCGATAACACGTCGGGCACTCACACTTTCGTGAGCATAAATCTTTCACCCACCAGGGGAGTGGTCTAGGGGGGCGTCCCGGGGTTTTCGAGCATCGCATCTGGGCAAAAACCATGGCCGGATTAAATTTTTAAACTCATTACTCGCTCCGGTGACTGAAGGACGAAAGGATTACGTAGCCCTTTTTCACGTGGTTGTTGTGGGAAGAAAGCCAAAATTTTTGGTTGAATGTTTTTGTTATGTTGGGGGTACTTTAGTTCTAAACCGAAATGGTATTTAAAAATTTCAGAATTACTGGGAGTTGTCAGAAAATCATTAATTTCTAGATAATTTTTTTTAAGTAGCAGCCGGAATACTTTAAATTTTTTATAGCTGTGCATCTTGTAAGCCGGACCTTGCTTTAACTAACTTCCAAATCTACAAAAGATGTAGTCAATAGGCGTTAAAGGTGTATTTTCTTTTTTTTGCTTTGTGACTTGTTGGGGCTCTCAAAAACATGCCGTATTTTTGATGAAATTTTCCTGAAATTCCGCTTTTTAATTCCTTTTTTTCCGGACATCAGCCATATTTCTTTGTTTTTCCGCACAGCTGGGACCTTCGTAGTATTTTTTCAAAATTCCCACCGATTTTTGTAGCAATTCCCGAGGGGACATCGATACAAAAATACTCCCCTAGCGGCCGGGTGGCTCATGGTCGGCCGGGCTGTAAACACGTTATGATGGGCGCTAAAATTTTACCGTCGTTGTGGAGTAATGGCGGATGCAGAGCTTTGTGGCTGAGGGTTTTGGGGCTGGGTGCGTTAAAAATTCCACTTTCCTGCTTAGAAACGGGATTTCTGTCATTCTGTATTTATGTTTTTTTTCTGTGGTAGTATTCCTACTTCGTATGTGAATACAAAAAAAGTCTTTGCTAGTCTGCAATCGAAAAACTTTTCTAAAATAATTTTTGCTATAATTTTTCCGATTTCGAACTGTAAAATCCTATTTTCCCAAAAAATCTCTGCACATTTACCTATTCAGATTTATATTCTCAAAGAACCTTTGCTAGCTTGCCGTTCCAATTCCTATTTTGCAAGAATATATTATGAAGGTCGTAGTTTGAACTCAAGCGTAAATGATCCCTGCCATTTCATCCCTTCTGGTTTCGTCTAACTAATTCCCAAAAAACCTCTGCTAGCCTACCTTGCTCCTTTCTAGCTTCCGGTTTCTCCCTAAGCTCGGAAGACCTGCTTAGCCTCCCGGCTCCCCATCCCTTAATTCGGATGTTTTCCTTTCCGCTTCCGATGTCCTTTCATTTTGCCAAATTTCGGGATTGACGTCCCGGGCGGCCCGTGAAGTACTTTCTTGAAGCCGCCCTCTCACCGTTCCGCCAAATAAACAACATCGACGTAGACAATTACCGGGTTTTCCTGATGATGTCCTCGAGCTGGCCGGGGGTATTGCAAAGGCTTCTACTATTTACCGGCGTTCAGCTTTTTCCAGCCAGCCACAAACATTTGATCCGCTGTTTCCCAGGCGGGGGAGAATTTGAGGGGGCGGGTGGACTAGGATTTAGGTCAATGGAATAAAAATTCTTGCTTTTTTTATGATTTGATCTGATTAAAAAAAGTTTTTCAATCATTTATCTCTCTCTCGCTCTCCCTCTCTTTCTCTCCCACACACACCATTTATCGTACTTCCAGATGTTGATCGTATGAAATACGAACCCCCGTCCGTCCCCGCTGCAAGATGACGGAAATTATTGTGAACGACACACTCCTCCCTCCGCCCTGTTTTCACGAAAAAACGTGCGCGGCGATAAATATCGCCCGGCAGGTGAGTGAGCCGGGGGTCGGGTTACATATTGAAAAAGCGCTGCGGAAAGCAGAACACCACAAATTTTGCAGGTAGGATTTGGCCCAAACGAGCTCGAAATGCCTAGAAACATTAACTGTTGAGGCGTAAAAAAGGCCGACATCGTAAATAGCGATGTTCAAAATACCGACATGCTAGCACTGTAAATAGCCTTTTTGCATGCTGGCATTTCCATTATGGGGATTCCAGCGTGGAAAATTAACTTTTTCTTCATTTAGCTGGTGGCGTGTCGGCATTTTGGGTCGGGATTTGTCGGAATTTTTCTGCAAACTTTTCGTATTTCGGCGTTTGTCAGAAAATCGTTAGGCTGGCCTCAAAAATGATTTTTTTTTGGACGACTCACGATCCTTGAGACCCAAGTTCGATCTCCATCAGCGCCTAACCTTTTACTTTTGCTTTTAGGGACCTAGCGTTCCTTTAAGAAAACAACTCGAATTTCCAATCCCCAAACCCAATGACATCCCGTCGAAATTGGCCGGCATTTCTCAAAACACAAGTCCATCGTCCAACCCGAATTAAGGGCCACCCACCCGTCCGGCTCCTCCTTGGGTCTCTCTCTCTACACGGCTTTCGCAAAAAAGCCAATTTTGAGGGCGAAAAGCCGGAAAATACGCGGTTCGTTAGGCACCGAAAGGGCCGGCTATGGAACCGTGAAGCCTTGGGGGGAAACCGAGGGGTCAACCCGGATGCCGGTGGGGGCGGGTTTCCGGTCCGAGTTTTGACAATGGTCGGGTGAGCGATTTTTGACGCTTACTGAAAATTATTAAGTCAGTCCCTTTACGCGAATATTAAAATTCATAAGAAGGGCCGCTGATAAACCTAAAAATCGCATTTTCAAGCTGGAGAAGCTTTTAAAACTTTTAAAACTTTTTTATAAACAGCGTGGCGAGGCAATTAAAAGTAGAGTAGGGGGAATTGATAAAGCATTTTTTCAATATTACAAATTTTAGCAATTTATAATCTGATTTAAGGTACCACTCGAATGGGCCCTTCCCTTGTACGGCTACCTGATGCCGCTAGTTGTCGCCCTGACGGTGGCCACGAATTCGTTCATCGTGGTAGTTCTATCGCACAAATACCTGAGAACACCGACAAATTTTGTGCTGCTAGCGATGGCTGTTTCAGGTAAGGTTGTATACGGATATTGGGATTTTTATTTGTCGGCTTTTGGCTTTGCCATTAAAAAACCTAAAAAACCACTGAGAGTGACGTTTCAGAGCTGCTCACCGGCGTCTGTTGCATCCCGTGGTTTTTGTACTACTACACCTTTGGAGGTAAGTAAAACGTATCAACTGATAGGTCTCTCCCTCCCTCACCCTTTCTCTCCCGCATTCTCGCTCTCTAGCTCTCTTTTTATCACGTCCTTATACCTCCAAGATTTCCTGAAGTTTGGAAACTACGCTCCTCTTTGACAGCCTAATTCCACTCCTGCAAAGTCGATTTTCTGCAGAAGAAACGTCTAAATTTTCAGCCTGCTCGCAGCTTCTGATTGGACTTTGCGAGACTTAGTTGGATTCAACAAAAAAGGAGGGCCCGTTTTTTGGCCCTTTTCCAGCCCCGGGGTCTGATGGTCTAGCTGGGACGTGTGTGCCGAGGCTTTTTCCGGTGTAGCCCCCTCCCCTTGCTTTCACCTCTAATTAAGGGGACGGAGGGGTGCGCCTAATTGGACCAATCACATGAAGCCATGGCTGGATAGGGCTAGCTTCTTATGTGTCGAAAGAAGTGGAGAAGGGGGTGAGACTTATTTGATCCACATAGCGGGAAGGATATGTCGGAAAGGGTTGTGTTACGATTGGGGAATCAGGGAAGTTGGGGAACACCGGGAATTTGAGGGGTTCAAGCCTAAAAAAATCCCGTGTCTTGAAACGCACGGAACGTATGTAGTCAAATCTTCCTAAAATTTAGATCGCTTGAAATTCTTAAAAACCTAGTAGGTAGCTCCAGTCCAAATTTGGGTAGGTGCGGTACGTAGCTGATGAAGTCCAAAAGGAGCGCAAAATTTGCTTGACGACTGGGAAACACACAATTTTTTGGTCTAAAGCCGCGTGTCGTTGTCCCTTGTCAGTGAGAATAGGTTTAAAAAGCTGGATTAGGAGTTTAAAAAACAGGATTTGGACCTAAGCCTAAGCCTAAGCCTAAGCCTAAGCCTAAGCCTAAGCCTAAGCCTAAGCCTAAGCCTAATCATAATCATAATCCTAATCCTGAGCCTAAGCCTAAGTATGAGCTTATTCCTAAGCCTAAGCCTAAGCCTAAGCCTAAGCCTAAGCCTAAGCCTAAGCCTAAGCCTAAGCCTAAGCCTAAGCCTAAGCCTAAGCCTAAGCCTAAGCCTAAGCCTAAGCCTAAGCCTAAGCCTAAGCCTAAGCCTAAGCCTAAGCCTAAGCCTAAACCTAAGCCTAAGCCTAAGCCTAAGCCTAAGCCTAAGCCTAAGCCTAAGCCTAAGCCTAAGCCTAAGCCTAAACCTAAGCCTAAGCCTAAGCCTAAGCCTAAGCCTAAGCCTAAGCCTAAGCCTAAGCCTAAGCCTAATCATAATCATAATCCTAATCCTGAGCCTAAGCCTAAGTATGAGCTTATTCCTAAGCCTAAGCCTAAGCCTAAGCCTAAGCCTAAGCCTAAGCCTAAGCCTAAGCCTAAGCCTAAGCCTAAGCCTAAGCCTAAGCCTAAGCCTAAGCCTAAGCCTAAGCCTAAGCCTAAGTCTAAGCCTAAGCCTAAGCCTGAGCCTAAGCCTAAGCCTAACTCTGAGCCTAAGCCTAAGCCTAAGTCTAAGCCTAAGCCTGAGCCTGAGCCTAAGCCAAAACCCTTGGATTACTCCATTGTCTTTTCATTTTTTTTTATTCCTCTCAAAATATCCAAACCCGACTCGTCAACCATCACCCAGAAAACGGAAGCCAAGTTGGAAATGCCATATGATCGCATAGATACATCAGGCAGAATCGCAGAAGCCGTGATGTATCTACACGATCATACGGCTCACTGCTTCCAGTTTGCAACCTCTAGCTTCACTTGGTTATAAGGACTGGAATAACTGGTCTTTTGGGTTTGCCTGCAATTTTCGCTTCCTTAAGCCAAATCAGCCCCCGTTTTCTCCACCAGATGACTAATCGCATTCTCATCTGTCTTAATCCCGACACCTCTACAGCCAGCCTATAAAAAACTTCTCCTCAAGCTGTGTGTGTATGTGTGGGGTCTGTTGGGGTCGGCGGAATTGGATGAAAAACGAAGTGCCCCCACGGAGGGAAGATGTGCAATGGCATCCTAATTGGGGGGCCGGCGGGCTCGAGAAGAAGAAGACGTGTAGAAGGCCCAGTTGGAGGGCCAGAAGAACGTCTTTTTTTGAGGTCGCGAGGAGTGGTGAAAAAGCGCTCACGAGGTCACCCGAGGGGCTGGACGCAGAAAAAGGGTCGGATCGGAAACGGGGGTTGAGGAAGAAAATGTTGCAATTTAGCAGGCGGCTGATTTCAGAAATATAGAGAGACAAAGAGCGAGAGAGAGAGAGAGAGAGAGAGAGAGAGAGAGAGAGAGAGATAGTCATGCACTTACTTAGAATCTTAAACCCGCTTCTATCCAACGCAGGCGATCAAAAAAAAAACGAGAAGGAGAAAGAACGAGAGAGAGACAGCGAGAGAGAGAGAGACAGAGAGAGAGAGAGAGAGAGAGAGAGAGAGAGAGAGAGAGAAAGAGAGGTTTCAGGCTCTATCCGGTACATTTTTGACCAGACCACAAAATAAACCAATTTTCAGGCTACCACACGGATGCCGAGTCGGGCCTACCCTCAATCTGGTGCCAACTGATCCCATTCATGGCCTCATTCTTCCCCTCCATCTTCCACGCGACGGCTATCTACCTTACCGTATACCTGGCCATACAGCGCTACGTCTACATTTGCATACCGACGCTTGTGAGGCGGTTTTGCACGATCAAATATAGTAAGAAGGTAGATGCCGCTTATTGAGCCGTTTTAATACGCAAATCAAGGTCCTCATCTTCATCTGGATCTTCTCGACCTTGATCTATGCTCCAGAGGCGCTCGCAAACTACCATCAGTCAAAAGTCGTCAAGAACATCTTTACAGGGCGTGAGTTTTTAAGAGCGTAAGGTAGTCACTTCTTCAGAAATATCTCGCCAATGTTACCGTACACAGTCAGGATTCTTGCTGTGGATCGGTCCGAATTTGTATTACAAGGTATCCAAAAATTCAAGATACTTTATTAATCGATTTTAGGTCTTCTACACTATCCAAACCGTGCTGGTCCACTCTGGGCCCTGTTTGCTCCTCGTAATTTTTACGTGGAAGCTGGTTTCGGCGATTCGAGAAGCTGATAAGCGGCATTTGCATTTGATGAAAAAGTAAGTTTTTATCTATCTAAGACGCAGCTAAGCCTAAGCGAAACCCAAGCAAAGTCTAAGTGAAGCTAAGGAAAGCCTGGATAAGCCCAAGCCAAGCATAAGCCTTAACCGAAGCCAAAGCATAAGCTCGAGTTCGGAAACATTTTTTCAACCCACCTATCGTACCCTCTCTATTTCCATACCCCTAAAATGACCCATGTTGACCGGATTGCCCTTGACTTGCGCGTGACGAGCAGTTGACGATCTACGACTAGTTGGGGCAATTTTTCTCAGGGCCGGGATTATCCTATTTACCCCGAAAAGCCCACGCTTTTGGCGGGGGTCCCGGGAAGGACAAAAAAAACACCAGTAATGGGATGGCCGGGGGGATGGGATTTGACTTTTTGCGGGATGTGACCGGATATTGGTTGACCATTCGTGGGGCGAGGGTATTGGAGTGGAAATTGTACGGTCTAATACAAAAGGTTTTTAAGGACAGGGATGTTTGGATATATTTCGAAAAATTAACGAGGACGTATAATATAAAGTTAAAATAAAATTTATGATTTTCTTGAAGCATGAAAGAGCACGGGGAGAGAGAGTAGAGCGAGAGAGAGAGAGCAACGTGCGACAATGATCTAGACATCACGCTGCTCCCGCTGTCACTGTCCCTTTAATGGCGACTGGCATTGCATCATCGCTTTTCCATTGCATGATCGATTAGGAGCTTGTCTTGCTCTTTCAAAAGTGCGCCTTAGTTGACTATCTTTTTCCTGTCTGAGAGCTTCTAACGACTACTTTTCCAATATACAACTACAACCTAGTCCGCAACCTTTATACGGTTTTCGAAAACCCTCAAAAACCCGTGTTCCCCAGCTTTCCCCTCACCAAAATCAACACTATCTTCGACAATCAAAGCCCAGTGACAAGGCCCAGGGCCAAAACCCTATTTGCCGTTCCTCCAGCAGGGGTTCCCCCGCTGGAGGATCTCATTTGCAGGCGGAAATCCTGGGGAATGCCATCGTCGGCGTGCTCGTCGATAATTCGATTTTGGGGAGGGCCTAAAAACTAAAGATTTGGATCTGTGGGGCGCCGGGGGATACCTAGGGAGTGACGAGAACGCAACGGAGAAATACCGCAGTAGTAGCTGCTGACGAAATAAAGCTGGATTTAAAAAATAGGGAGCGTAAATTGTGAGTAAAGGCAACTACAGTAGATTTCAAATGGATTTTCGGCTATTCCAAATCTTTCGACGTCATAAAAATGTTAGCCGATTTTTCCCAAGCAAAAATTCTTCTGGGTTGCTCGTTGGTACCACGCCTTTAGAATGTTATTTTCTGTTAAAACTGATAAAAAAGAAAATACGGTATGCCACACAAGATTTCTTTGTCTCTAACACAAGAAAACTGTCTAAAAACATTTTTCCGAAGTAAAAATTCGTCTTCCAAAGTACCCCCTCTCAAGTTATCTTGCTCGTCTAGTCAAATTTTCCGATATTCAAAAACACTTAAGCATTTTTCCAACCGAGTTTTTTTCCGGTCCATCCATCCAATCTTTCTACCCCTTCCCCCCAAAAAATGCTAACCATATTACCCTTCCCGTTACGGAAATTGGTTCGCCCACTCGGGCTCTGACGCAAGTTGACCCGGCCCCCGGCCGTCCATGGAAATTGTTGCATCGCGGACCGTTTTGCGTTTTTTTCGATTCGAGTTGAAAGGGGTTGCAAAGAGGAACCAACCCGACCAGACGGAAGTTCATCTGGGAAAATCGGACGGCGAGGGACCCAAGACCAGAGCTTTGCGCTCCCGGGGGCTAACGAACTGAAATTTGGTTCTTTTTCGGGGGTAGGAAATGGAAAGGAGATAAAAAACACTAGGGGACGAACATCTAGAATCTGGGAAAGTTTAAGGTAGCGAGAGGGAAAGAGAGCGGGCGAGAGAGCGACAGTAAGAGGGAGATAGCGAACGAGAGTGAGCGAGCAAGAGTGAACCGACCTGACCTTGCCAACCCTTTTAAAAGCCATTTTCAGAGTCCCCAACCACCGAAAACAAGACGACGAGGTATCGATCGATTGTGGCAGCGTAACGATATCAGTCGGAAATATGTCATCTGGCAATGAGAAGCGGAGGTATTTTTCCTTTTCCATTGCTTTAACTGCACCATTTTGTTCTTCTAGGGACTACAGCAGTTTTCGGTAAGCGCTGGTTACAAAATACAGCCAACAACGCTCAAAACTCTAAACCCTCGGCTTTGCATGAAAAATTATAAAAAGAGAGCTACAGCATGATGCTAAATTAACCATCATTCGTCCTTGGTCTATTGGGTTATTTGACTCATCATAATTTATGATTTTAGGTATCTAGTAAATCGACATTTTTAGATCGACGCTTGCCACTGACAGCCTGGTGCGGAAGATGTCGAAAATCTACAAGAAGACGAGCAACGAGCCAAAACGGGTACAGGGCTTGAAGCAGGTAAGCAAAAGCATTACAGCCAAGAGCTAAGGCTTAGGTTTAGGCTTAAAACCCAAAACCCTTTAGAACACTCGAATGCTGGTGGTGGTCATCTTGCTCTTCTTGGTCACCGAAATCCCGGCCGCGATGATCTTCACAGTCCACGTGCTTTCCGTTTCTTTCCGGCTCGGCCACACAAACTATCAAATGCTGAATACGTCGCTTATTATTAGGTATGTATTGGTTAAATTGTCGAAAGCCAATTTTTTTCATTTTGCGCTTTGTGGTCAATCTCCACAAAATCGAGGACTCCTTGTAGTCAGGGAACTCTACGTCTAAAAAAATATTTACCTCCCGTTAGTGTACCTCTCTGTGTTTTGAAATCATACCGGAAACGAGACTGAAAGCCGGAAATCCTGGACCTTCAGGGTAATCCGGTCGAAAAAGTGGAATGCAAATGCGCAAAACAAACGGTTAAAAATGAAGAAGGGGGCTTTTCAGGAATGTTCTAATTGTCATCTCGTACCCCTTCCGCTTTGCCATCTACTGCGGGATGTCGCAGCAGTTTAGAGAGGTAGGCGATCGAGAGAAAGAGAGAGAGAGAGAGCGAGAGAGAGAGAGAGAGAGAGAGGACGAGATCAAGCGTTACCTTTTATTCAAGGTGGTCCAACAAATGTGCATCACGCGTTTCTTCAAATCCATCTGCTTCCGCACGAAAAAGCGAAAAGACAGCAGCTCGCTAGCCCTAGAAACAAGTTGCCTCAACGAGACTCGAAGGTATTGTTTTGCTGCAACCTTCCTATTCTTTTTGCACGCAAAATCTCAACCCCTGCCAAACGCCCGTCACCGAGAAATGCCCTAGCGAGCATGGTTCTACTATTTCTTTTGAACTTTTTTTTTTACTTTTTTCGGCTTGCTCCAGAAAGTTTGTAATAACATTGTAAATATGGGCGTAGAAAATCGCAAGAATGGTATTTTTTGAGAATTTGGACCGCAAAATGGGTACCAGAAAACCATTTTTTACTATCAAAAAATAAGCAAGACGCTTTAGAAATCTCATAACATCGAAAATTTTCTTAAAAACGTTTAGAAATTGCTTAAAATTAGTAAAAACAAAAATAAAAAGCAACAATACAAGAAAAACTTTCAAAACCAATCTTCAAAAATTTCAGACGGTTCTTGAAATCCATAAAATTCAGGGACACAAAATCACAAATATCCCACGATCTTAGAAAAAGCCTATTTTTCTTTTTCTCTCTATTATTTTCCCATTTTTCCACCAACAGATCGCCGTCCTCGTCCAGCTACAATGGCCTGTTGTACACCCAATAGTGGCATGTGGCACATCCATTTTCTAAATACTGCCCTCGCTACCGTATCCACCCACAATCCACCAACCACACGAAAACTTCACCCTTGCCTCAGGTATCGTTTGCGCGGAACGCTCGGCCTTTCGCTTGCAACTTTTCCGGTTTTTGATTTATTGATTTTTGAAAGGGAGGTTGGCTTTCCGGATTTGTTAAAATTGTATAGAAAATTTATCTTCTTCTTCTTCTTCTTCTATAAAGGGCAGAGAAGGTATGGACATGGATTTTTTTACCAATAAGGCTTTATAAAATTTTCCCGCGCCGCGCCGGGGCACGCAGCGCAACATATTACGCGACACGCGCCGCGCCGCGATATGCAACGCGAGACGCAGCGCGAAACGTACAGGAAACTCAAGGCGGCACGTAAAACGCAATGTGACACGCATCGCGAAATGCAGCGCTAGACGCGAGACAACACACGACGCAATACGCGACGGGGACGAAGGTCACGAAGTACCGCATTTTCGTTGCGTAATGGATTAGGGACTGTTCAGCGTAGCGCGAATCCTTGAAAATTGATTTCGGTTAGAGTGCAGTTTACCCCCCCCCGCCCCCAGCCCGCACCGAACTTTTGTATTGCGGCTCCCTGTTCATCTACAGGTCTGTAAAGTATACGAAAATACTCATCAGAGCAAGACGAACATTTTGGTATACTTTACACAGCTGTAGATGAACAGGGAGCCGAGATACGGTAGGTGGGGTCGGCTGGGGGGTAAACTGCACTCAAGCCTTGATTAAAAAAACCGTAGCCTTACCTTCCCTTGCCCTTTCACTCTGTCCGGAATGGGATTGAGATTTGCATATCAATGTTGCTTGGGAAATTCGTTGGCATTGGCGAGGCACCGATACAAAAGACGGGGGGAATTTAGATATAGCCGCTGGTCGCCGACGATTATCGTCGAGGTTATTGACGAGAAACTAGACGACAATCAGTCAGTGAGGTGCTTTTTTGACCATTGTTTGAGTAGATTCAATACTATATATTCTAGCGTTAAAATACATTTTTTTTCGGCGCTTTACCGCCTAAGAAACCACAAAATTAGTCTTTAAGGGAACGAGAAAGGCATCATAGGGCGTTGACTGCCTATGGTTTTGTTTCATCCAGTTCCCTGCCTGGCCCAAACATTGAAAAAATACGATTTCCATATTCACACTTATTAGAACTGTGACGTTAAACTATTTTTCTACAATAAATTTTTGTATCTTTCTTTTGGCTACACTTGACTTTACCCCACGCCATCCGGAATGTCTTGGCTATAACTTTTTTACTTACATATTGTAGGCTCAAATTAAAACTGTTAGTATATTTTTCGACGCTCTATCGGATGGCGTTGCAAAAATCTCGATAAAATAAGCGAAAATGCCGAAAACTTTCAGACCCTTCGGCTGCAGGGGGTACGGGGGTAAAGTAAAGCCTTACCTTTCTTTCTCTTACTACAGATTTCGCACCCTCACCTTCTGAATGATAGCGTATATCCTAAAGCCTTTTCTATAACCCAATATGCAAATTCGCGGCTCAAATCCGGAAAGTCGACTAACCCCCGTACGAATTTTAGCTCGATTTATCCCTCCATTCCCAATCTCCTACAAATCCCACTTTTCAGGTCGTTCGCTCTGTCAGCGAATAACTCGGATGCATGTCTTGTGATTAGGTTTGTTTCGTAGATTATACAAGCAGATTTATACCTTTTTTTTTGAATTCGAGTCCCATATCGTAACCGTATCGTAATACCGTAATAATGAAGCATGGATCCGCGGAGGTTCTAGAGGTTTTTGGCGTGATTTCCGATATTTTAGAACAACTAAAAAAGCTTAAGAACTAGCTTTAACGACCGGCTTACTGTAACCAAAGTCAACGTCAAAAACAGAAGTGCAAAAACCATTTAATGTGTTTAGAGGTACAAAAGACACTGGTGTTCAATGTTCGATGGACAGTCGGCTGGTTTTTGACCCGCTATTTGACGACATGCAGCACTTGGTGGATTCGGATTCTGAAGGTCAGTCAAGCTTAGGGTTAGGCTTAAGCTTAGCCTTAGGCTTAAGCTAGGGATTGGGCTTATGCTTAAGCTAGGGATTGGGCTTAGGCTTAGGCCTGGCTTTAGGCATAGACTTCGGCTAAACCTACTGCAACGAATTCTTCTTTCCAGACAGCCACCCGATCCACGACTCCAAAAGCAGCACGCGGGGCACACAGTGCTCCGCTAAAATCGACAAAAACATGTTCGTGCGGCGGAAGAGCTCGTTGGTGGCGACGGCTCTGATTGACGTTACTACTGGGTGCCATGTTCCTGTTGTCATATCGATTGCGACGTAATGATTTTGATAGAATTTGGCCTTTTCTCAATTGTTTAATGGTCTTAAAGGGACGGGGAAGGCAAAAAAAATATATTTATAACTGCCGAAAAAGCGGCATCTGTTTTTAGCAACGTTTCTAAGGGAATGAAAGACTTGAAATGCTTAAAATTAAGTGCATAGGTCACCATAGACGATACCTTTTTCCTGCCTTCCACGTCCCTTTAAAACCCGCACTACGCTAGCCCCGCTTTCCGAATTGAATCAACATCTCGATGCTGTGACGGTCTCATTCTCTCTCTCTCTCTCCCTGCTTGAATTACGGGTCTATGCTTTGTTCAATTTGCCTCCAGATTTCTGGTCGGCCTCTCTGCCCGATTTTGTATATTGTGTGGGGTAGGCCGGGGCGCGATAAACAATTCCATATCACCAGTGCTGCGCGTACGTGTTGTGGATCACAGAGGTGTCGTTGATTGGGGTTAGGATTTTGAAGATTTTCTGAAATAGGGCGTGTCAGAGGCCGTTAAATCCGTAAAACTATTCGAAAAATGCTATTTTAGATACTAAAATAGGTTGCATTGTATCGTGTTTTTTTAGTAAAATATTACTGAAAAATACTCTAATACGCTAAAATACAAAAAAAACACGATACAATGCAACCTATGAAGTCGGAAAATGCCACTTGAGCTATTCAAAGTCCGCTTCCACTGATTCAAAGTTTAAGGCAGGGGCAAGTCATGGCTATGGATTCTCATTTTGCCGGGGCACAAAACGCAATTAGCACTTAAGGGGCTCCGAACTGCCAAATCAAAGCCCTTTTGGGAGGGCTCTTTGATTTCTGGCAAATTGCCAGCGGGCGCTGCGGCACGAAAGCCCTCACTCTTTCGATTTTTGCGCAAAGTTGTTTTTGCCCGGTTTCTTTGTGAAAACACTATAATTCGCGCATTCTGAGCCCATTTTTGAAATCCTCACTCAATTTTAAATATTTTTGGTGTTTTAATCATCAAATTTGGCCCAGAAACAGCCGAGAACGTGATTTCGAGGTGACAACAGGCCATTTCAAATTTGCGAGCTTCCTGCGCCCCCAGGTGTACAGAGGCCTCCCACGTACAGGGCTCCGATTCTCGGGCCGTCACTCAATTTTTGGCATTTCGTAGCCCCTTTAAGAAAAAAACGCCAGAATTTATGGAAAAGATAAACGCGTGCATGTGCGTTGCGTGTGTTGGGCAGTGTATCTCGTCGAAAATTTCTAGGAAAAATTTAGAATATTTCTCACCTGTCGCCGCTTCCGCTGAATATTTCGTAAAATATGCAACAGCGTCAAACATCCGATGATTGCATATACGGAGATTAACTAAATTATTTTATAAAAGCATTTCTCGAAATCATTTAGGTTCAATTTCCATATCCTTACATTTAACCCGGCCAATACTGTCCTCCGCAATTCAAACGTCCAAGTCACCGGCATTATCCCTGGCAAATAGCCGTTTAGAAATACTGCTCCAAGTCCGATGACTAGATGAACTACTAAAAACCGGAATTGAACTTGAATTTAGTATAGCAACAGCTCGAGGATATAAAAATAATTCCGGTATAACTTACTCGTAAACGGCAACAATAACCTATTAGCACTTCTGCCTTCCAACTTTGAAAAACTCGCTCCAAGATCGTAGGTTCTGAAGTGAAAATACGAACTCAATGAAAATCATGGAAAACCCACTTTTTAGAATTTTTTGTTGTCACTGCCAGGTAGACCATAACAATTACGCTAGCAAGGTCGATGGACGGCAAAATTTTGAGCACTCGATCAAGTTGGTCGACCGTATTCGCGTTGCCCAGTGTGCAATAGGGGACGATCATGGAGAAATCTTCTCGATGTAGACAATAGGCGTTGATGAGAACGGTGGTTAGTAACTGAAAAAGCGGACTCTATTTGTGAATTGTTTTAGAATGAAAACAGAGAAAGATAACTTTTAGCTTTCGTTGACTCGCATTAATGGTACAGTTATCGCAAACTAGTGTTCAGAGCGCACAATTTCGGGAGGTGCAGAGGAGTGTAACGTAGTTGCAGCGTTTTATTCACAGTTTCAGATATTTTACTTGAAATCAGACAAGACCAACCGAAGCCCCCAGCAATCCCCATCCAAAAATTGGCCTCATCGTCTCGTAGCGCCGCGCATAGTAGCGGGCCATTATTCGCTCCAGACATAGCCCAAAATGCAACGAGGAGCAGCCAAATACAGCAAAATTGGCAGGAGCTCGAATGATGTCGCAGACAGCCTCGGAGACCATCAGCTGACAGCCGGTCATTGTCGAATAGGCGTAGACATGGTAACTCTGGAAAATGAAAGGGCATACGCGGCAGACTTCCACACGCAACGCATTAGGAATTATAGCTTGATGATTTTTAGATAGCGCTTGCGATAGGCAATGCGCGGAATTCGGTCGTATTTGGCTAGGAAAGCGTAATCGAGTACGCGATGTAAGGGCGGAGTGCGTGTTCGTCTCGCGACATCAAGCAGATCGGTAAGCATTCGAAGGCACGATTCGTTCAAGCTTATGGGAGTCATTTGTAGCTATGTATATCTGTCGAAGACTAGTGAAGGATAGGGGGTCGATTCCGAGGATTACTAGTCCCTTTAAAACGCACTTTTATGGCGTTTCTTGAGTGCAATTTCAGCGTCAAGTGTACTTGAGGTTACGTGCTCAAAAAAACAACGGAAAAACTTACGAATGGCACCGATAACCCAACACCGTGCGCAATAAATAAGGCGACGATGGCGAGGAGAAGGATCTGAACAAAAATTTAATCTTTTTAGAATAAAGAAACCTTGCAGTTCGGATGAAAAAACGATCTCCGGACGACGCCGAGGGAGTAGATGCTCAGCGAGATACCGATGATGCCCAGGATAACATGTGTCAATAGTACAAATCGGAATGGCATATAGCCCTGAAAAGGGGCCGCAGCTGCTGTGCATTCGGTATCGTTCATGGTCTGGAAATAAGCATAAATTAAAGACTGCCCCGAGGGGACAACTGTATTAATAAAAAGGGAAAAGCCATCGAAAAAGCAATATTTTAAGCAAAAACTAGCCGTTTCAAAATTGCAACGAAAAGAGTAATTTCTGAATTTCCACAAACGTTCTATCGCCCAATTTGCCGTACCGGACAGCCATATTTTTGCTAATTTTTCAACCCCAGGGAATTCCTAAGGCCGATAAGTTTTTGCTTTATAGTTTGTAGACCCTCAACAAGCGCAAGTCATGTTTCCGAAAAAAAACTGATTTTCACAAGAACTCTTGGCAAAGCACCTGCCAGGAACCACGATGCGTTTTTGAAAAGTAGGTGGGGCACGGACACTAAACCTACTCGATATTATTGTGGCTGAAAAATCAAACCACCAAGAATATAAAAATCAGCTTCCTCGATATGGCTTTCCGCACTCAGGCTTTTTAAAAATTGTTTTGCCGCATGACTCGATGTAAGATTCCGATGAATCTGATCCGATGTAACGGGTGTAAGACTCGGAATCAAGCGCTTCCTCTGACTAAGGTATTCAAAAATGCGAACATTTGATCAGTCCTAAATCAAACACTTACCCGGCTAGTATTAATTATCGTACCCTGAACTCAAAAGCTGGTGAAAAATTCATTTCGGCCAGTCCTTGACATGAAGTCATTTCCACTAGGTAATAGCTAATCTTTTATTAATGCCGAACACCAGAATCCAATTTCTGTCTATCAAATTGTTTGTCGTGCTGTTTTTTTACGCGCCGGCGTGGGAACTCATAAATAAAGAATCACCCAGGTAGGTGATTTTGAAAACTCAATGCCTTTCACTTTGGGGGCACATTTTGGCCCAGGTCTCTAAAATTTCAGTTTAATTTGGGGGTTCGAGGGGTGTATTTTGGGCCGAAAAATGGACGGGGGTCCGGGTGGACTCTGAGGCCAAAACGATTAGTATACGCCGGACGTTGGGGCCCAGAAGTGTCTTACGGTACCGGTTTTTTCTGTTTTAATGGTTGTTAAGGTAATATTAAAGTTTAGGTAGGTTAAAGGGCAAAGCAAGCCACGTCGCTTGATCCAATGTCGGGTGACGACGTGTCGTCTAGTTAGCTGCTTTTAGGACGGGTTCATTTCACGTAAGGATATTCAGATTAAGCGCAAAAACCAACAATTTTAATGATTTTAAATGTTGCCGAGAGTTGAAGCAACTTTCAGAAACGCCAAATTGCCAGCGCCGCAAATTAGCACTTTCAGGCATCCTTCGAAGAAAGCCTGCAAGCCGTACTTCGGAAAGCGTCAATGACCATATCAATTATTAAAAAAAATGATAGAACGAGAGAAAAAGAGATAGAGAGATAGAGAGCGAGCGAGCGACAGAGAGAGTTAGCGAGGGCGAGCGTGGTAGAGTGAGGGTGATTGAGAGAGAGAGAGAGAGAGAGAGAGAGAGAGAGAGAGATAGAGAGAGAAGAGAACGTGCGGGAGAGAAAGCGACAGATAGCGAAAATCCCACCCGGCCGACATCACTCGGTTAAAAATAAATTTGAATCAACGTCGCAGGCCCATGAAAATTGCTTTTTGAATGAGGGTCCTCTATAAAACCCTCAGAACTACATGTGGCATGTTTTTTTTTCAATATGAAGCACCTGATCCTCCTCGTCTTCCACTTGGCCCTAGTTTTTGGTGGCGGGGTCTGGTACGGACCGTGGAAGAAGGCCGGGATTGACAAAGGTAACCATTTTTGTTAAGATCTGATTTTTTAAATAAGTTCTGCAAATTATTCAACGGTGATTTTTTTTATGCGAAGGACCTTAGCTTATGAAAATTGGAGCAGAAATAACTACAAATTTACAACATTTTAGACGACGCGGAACTGGGAGTGCAAGAACGCGCCAGTCCAGGAGCGGTAAGGAAATTGTGAAAAATTACGTTAAACAAGCGTATAGATGCAAAATTAGAGAGCGCAAAAGCCCACAAAATCCGAATGGTTCCTAATTACACCAGACTACGTTCCGGGGCCCACATAAATACTCATAAATAACCTAGTACTGCGAATAGCTACCAATATCCGAATCGTAGCTGTTTTTAAATACTACCTGCTCTTTGGCAGCAGGTATCACAGATTAAGGTTTTTTCTAATATTATTTAACGAGGGGATGTTTTTTCTTGAAAGTTCGGGGAATTACTTTCGATTTTGCTTTATTGAAATCGCACTAAATAATTTCCCCCACACGTGTAGTCTATATATTTTTTTCGTTAACTTGAATTGAGAACAGGCTTTGCAAATTGTTTTCCCGGGAAGCCAAACTTCCTCAAGAAATTATGAATTTTTAGAGCAACCGGAAGCTGAAGGACAATTCCGGGCCCGTGTATTCCGGTGAGACCGGGGGAGTCGGTGAAGGTGGAGAAGCTGGTCAAGCCGACGAACCTATCGCGCTCGGCGCGCATGAGTGCGACTCACATTCCGAATGCAAGGAGGGGGACTATTGTCATACGGAGTGTCATGAGAAGCGTTGCATCGGAACGTGTGGGAGGAAACCGGAGATGGCTGCTGGGGATCCGGTGGGTCTAATAGGACAGCCTGAGCCTAAGCCTAAGCATAACGGTCATTTCTCGACTTACCATTAATGCATAGATGCCTCAAACCGTACATACCTTACAGCACGGTCACGTCACAAACCAAAAGCCGTTTGAACCACTGGAAGGATTCGATGGGAAATGCTGGGGTGGCGAAAATTGCCCAGAGAAGACGTTCTGCGATCGCCGCTACCCGGCCCGCTGCCTCAAGGCGGAGCCCTGCTGGAATTGCGTCAGGATCAAGCCGGAGGGAAGGGTATGTCATTTTTTTCATTAATGGACCTCATTTCAAATAATTATTGCCAAGGGAAAATTTTCAAGGTCAGGCTAGTGTATTCTTCCTTCTCACACATTTTTGTAACCCGGCTTCCCTTCCTGCTACAGGGCTGTGAAGTATACCAAAATGTTCTCCTTGCGCTGTAGAGTAAGAATGAAAGCATACAAATTAGCAAATAGTGAAAAGATGGGCTAAATTGATCGGAATCCCGGGTCTACCCTGTGTTAAAATCCAACGCTCAAAACCCGGTTCAAAGCCTTCAACTTTCTAATAAATGCTCACGATCAGAAGCTTAAGCTAAAATATAACATAATCCTTCAGAACCCATGCTGGACGAATTGGGACTGTTCGGAGACGCAATTCTGCCCGGTTACCCTCCCTAGCTACAGCTGCAGCTCGGTCCATCTTTGCCCCAGCAATTGCAGGGATCGCCCGAAAGCCGAAGCCAGGCATTAAAAGGTCGATAATAAATTGTTAAGCACAGTTATAATACAAGGTATTAAACGCCCAATAAAGCTTATTTGGAGTAATTATATAATCACCAAAATTTGAAATATATTCATAAATTTTGTGGATAGCTAGCAACGTCCAGAGTTGATCGGGTAGCAGTGCCAGTTAGCACGATTTGGGCAGCAGATGAAGCCGGGTTAGCAGCTGTTAGGAAACGTGCACTCGTCACTCTAAAATTGTTCAAAAAAAAAGTTGCTTATTTATCGTTTTGGTGCTGCCGTATATGCGCTTGTATTGTCTCAACGCGATTATCGGCTAATCCTTTGAATTCGACAAACTACAGCTATGACAGAGGATACCTTAGAAAAACTGGGTCAGGCGACAGACGACAAAACCAGCAGCAATAACATTGAAAGCACCGTAACTAGACGCTTTTTATGAAAAGGGTATTGCAAGGAATCCAAGATTAATAAAATTGTATTTATATCAAATTCAAGCGCTCCTCACCTAAATTCACCGTTTTCATGGGTTTTCAAAAGAATTTTCACGTTTTTACACATCTTCAGCCGACATTTTTCAAAAACTCGACATGAATCACAAGTGGCTTTTTCAGAATTTTTCAATTTTCAGTTTTGCCAAAATCTACAGTGTTATTCCGAGCCCACTTGCGCATATTTTCAAAAAAATAACGTTTTATTGAATCCATGATTAAGCTGTAGAGTGTGTAAAAACCCAGAGCGACGTACGAAATCCATAAAAGATGCGGGCGATCTTGAATTGCTTCCTGTTTTCCGTCATGCTGGGTACCGTAGTCTCGGTGGTGGGTCTGAAAATGTCTTGATATATGTCGTTATCGTTTAGAATTTCGCGTTAAAAATTATTTTTGCAGCTATTTTGCAAGATGGACAGTGATTGCGGGAGATGGGAGGACTACTGCCATAGCGGACAGTGTACAGCCAAGGTATGTTGGGGAGAGAGCGTCAGCAAAATCGAGACAGGGAGGGAAAGAGGGAGAGAGAGAAAGATAGACAAAGAGAGAGAAAGAAAGAAAGAGAGAGAGGGAGGAGTGAGGCATAGGGTGTGAGAGAGAGTGAGAGCGGGCGAGAGAGAGTGAGAGCGAGCGAGAGGGAGAGCGTGAGAGAAAGAGGGCGAGAGTGAGAGGGGAGTGAGCGAGAGAGGGAGACAGAGAGAGTGCGAGAGAGAGCGAGAGAGAATGCGAGTGATAGCGTGCTAGTGAGAGCGTGCGAGAGAACGAGAGAGAGATAACGAGAGAGAGAGAGAGAGAGAGAAAGATAAAAGTAGAGTGGGTGAGAGGAGCTATACAAAAAATTTTATCGAGGCCATTGATCATTTTTAGGTAGTCCGTTGGCCGGGAGAGAAATGCGAAAAGGCGCCGTGGGAAATTTGTGATAAGTCGATCTGCTGCTTTGCAACAAAGAACACTCGACAAAAGCACTGCACCGAAAAGAAACGCTGCCATCACATTCCATAGTCTTTGAAAATTCAACGTTGAGAAAAATAAAGGACTCGAGAACCTATTTTAAAGGGTTGGTGTCACCAAATAGCGAACAGCAATGCTGCCCCGGAAAATCCGATTATCACATCGAAGCTTTTCCCCATGACCTTTGCTGCCTGGAAATATGCATATTTTGACTGCTTCGAGAACATGGATTTTTCAGACGACAAAAACACATAAAATTGAATAAATTTGCAGGGTTTTCTATAAGAACCCCAATAGCTCCGGTAGCTGCGGGTGATTGGAAATGCATTCGATGCTCTATTGTTTGTTCTTTGCCGTCGTGCTGGTTACCGTACACGCCGATATTCAGGTCGGAAATCACTAGAAAATGCTGGAGCGTCGTGTTTTCGAGCGCTTAAGCGATTTTTTGGTTTCTTATGTTTCTGTCTAGAAACAAAAGTTAGCCCAACTTTCAAAAGTTTTACAAAATGGAAGCAATCCGACAGGCTAAACACTCTGAAAATAACGTAAAGATTTAGAATCAATGCGCAACGTGGCAGGATTGCCCGAAAGATCATTACTGCAAAGACGGCATGTGCGCGGAGCAGGCAAGTTTTGAATGGGTTTATTTAAATAAGGGTTTGTGGCATCATTTTTAAATCTGAATTTACACAAAATGGTCGTCAAATTCTAGAAGAATCTGGCTCGTAATACAGTAATTAATAAGTTTTTTATTTCAGAGAAACATCGAACGAGGCGAGTTATGCGGTGGGCGAATTACGGGCGGGTGTACGCTTGGCTACCGATGCTGCAGCCAGGTGAAGGGTGGCATCGGAACGTGTCTCGAGATTGGAGAAGTCTGCGAATAATTTGTTGATAAAGATTCACAACTGTGCAAAACAGAGGAAGAGCGCGAGAGAGAGCAGAGAGGGAGAGAGAGAGAGAGAGAGAGAGAGAGAGAGAGAGAGAGAAAGAGAGCGAAAAACGCCCTTGCATCATTTGCGTCTCGGATACACAGAAGCAGTTTTGAGGCCCTTTGAATTATTCATCCCTCCCAAGCATAAAAACCCGTCGTTATGTCAAAAATACATTTTTTTTGGGTTTTAAAGATTGAGCGTGGGCATCGTCGAGACCATGCCTTATAAAGACGAAATCCTGTGATTCCATGTATTCCAAATGCATTCTGTTTTCTCCATTCTGCTCCTGCTGTTGGCCGTGGCGATTACGGTAGTCGAGGTGGGAGGACGTTGCGAGAAATTTAGTATTGTCTTATTACCGGATCCCTATTTTTTTTTGGTGCAGTGGAAATATTTTGTCGATTTTGGCAGCTCTTCGGAAAAACTCAGAATGCCATGGCAATGCTTACAAGAAAAACTTATTTATGTGTTCACCTGCAACTCAAGTTTGACGATTCAAGGGGATTCTAGTTGCTCAGTAACCTGCGTCGCAAGAAAGTGTTTTCGAGGGATTAAATTAGCGGAACTACGATTTTATGCCTACCAAGTGACGGGCAAAATTTGCAGAGCCGCGGCCGTCAAGACAATACATGCAACGGGGAAAAATGCGAATGGTGGCAATTTTGCTGTGCGACGCTGCAAGAGTGCGTGAGCAGTCATCATTCATGCCCGCGGATTTGAGACTTGGTTTGTGGGCTACGTGATAAATATGCATAAACGCCCGCCGTCATAACGCTACGTAACAGAAACCTGAAACATGGACATTATTCATTTGGAAATGTATGTGTACAGGGTATCTCAATGAAAATGAGTGATTACAGACTTAGTCAAATCAGGCCCAAACGGTGATTCTGCTTTTCCCAGCCTAAAGTTCTCGAACGCCCCTCACATCTTCCGCCTCATCCCAACCGGCAGACCCTTCCGTGAATCAATTTCCGCTCGCCCGTGGAGCTTACATAAACGATTTTCGACCACTAGGAAAGGCTGAAGACCCTGGCTCATAATTCACGATTTCGGAATGTGCTCCATTTTCTGTACGTTGCTTCTGCTCTTATTCGCGGTTACGGTAGTTGAGGTGGGTAAAAAGTGTTGAAAAAAGCAAAAGTCATAATATTCGAGGTATTACCGTATCGTTGCCAAACTTTTAGAGCGAAAAGCTTTGCGCCGGGGCCATATGCAGGTCCAACGAATTTTGTTGCCGTCGACAAGCCGCGCCCAGCTGCATGGATGATGATTTTCTGAGTCGGGTGGTTTGTGCACTTGGATGAGGATTGAAGGAAGTTGGACAATAAATTTGTGATCATTAGAAGCGTGAACGAGTAGAAGTTGGAGAGAGAGAAAGAAAGAGTGAGCGAGAGCGAGAGAGAGAGAGAGAGAGCGAGCGAGAGAGATATAGAGACAGACAACAAAGACAAGCAGACATAAAATTCGCAAGCAAAACTTTCCTAACATAAGATCCTTTGTCTTCCGAATCTCCGGTCCTAAAATCTCGCTTTCGCTCCCTCTATCTCTCTCTCTCACCCTGCACTGCCGAAGTCCGACAATCTTTGGTCGAAAGACCAGAGTTCAACGCGACCTCTGTCTACGTCTTCCTCTCATCGTGTCGCATTTCAAATCCGCAAATTTAATGCCGCTTTGCTGCAAACGTGACAGATTCATCGAATGTATGAACAATCTTAATGCGATTCGACCCTATAAAAGCGCTCAGACTGTCGTGGCTCCCTATTGAAACATGGCCCTAGTTCATTATCTACTACTGCTGCTTGTTGTTGTACCTGCGGTATCGCTGGTGGGTAAGCCCTGGCGCTCATCAACCGTCGCAAATGAACAAAAAATGGTGAATTCCAGGACTGGTGTCTTGACGATAGCCAGTGCGCCGGTGTGGATGGCTACTGTTTCATTAACCGGTGCTCAGTGAAGGTCAACGGAGTTGCGGTTTGTTTTCAGAAAAACAAAAATATTGTTAAGTAAGAAGCACTTTTTGAGCTAAAGTTGGAAAACTTGACGTGCTTTGGCTCATTCGAAAGTGCGGTTTTTCTTAACAAGACGACCTAATCTGCTTCTCCTAAGTCTTTTTCTAAACAACACAGAAGTCTCCGTCTAAGCTTTTTTAAAGCAAAGTGCCTGTATAAACGTTCTCCGATTCCAGACCGATCGCCTTTGCGCAGGCGGACGGCTGGTGTGTGGTGATGGTGAATTCTGCTGTAAACTCCCGCACGTGGCGGACGGCGGCTACTGCGCAAAAGTCGTGGATGGTGGTTGCCTTGCAGGAAAATAAATTGTTCCGAGCTTTGATGCTTAAATCCCAAACTGCAAAGCAGTCAACGTGCGTCACTCACTAGTACACACACTCTCTCTCTCTCGCTCTCTCTCTCCCTCCTTTTCTTTAAGTTTTTAAGGCACCTGGTTTTTCTATTGCGTTATAAAAAATCGTGTCATACCGGGTACTAGATTTTGGGCCATTTCTCGATAGTTTTGGATAGTATTCGTGGTTGAATAATTCATATCCAATAACTATAAAGCCACACGGCCAACGCTGCCTGACTATAACCATGGGCTGCGTTGGTTATATTCTGTTCCTCACCATCGCCATCGTAGCCGTTACGGTAGAGGCGGTGGGGGCTAGAACTATAACCTTGATCGAACTATTTTATGCATATTTATGCTTATCAAAGCGAGATATTTTTTCAGTTTTGCCTGGCGAATGGAGAGTGCCCGCCGGGGCATGACTGCGTTGATTTGCATTGTGTGAAACAGGTAGGGGCAAAACATATCTCTCTCGCGTTCTCGCTCGCTCTTTATCTCTCTCTCTCTCTCTCTCTCTCTCTCTCTCTCTCTCTCTCTCTCTCTCTCTCTCGCTGTCTCGCTCTTTTTCTCTCTGCGCTCCAAATTTAATTCGAAAAACCAAAACACCTAGGAACCGTGCCACGATCGACACGATTGTCCTGACTTCCATGTGTCTGTTCAACCGCTGTGTGCTGCCGGTTTGTGGAGGATCATGGGGAAGTCACTATCAGCTTTTTAGCGCCCTCGTTGCGGTGTGGTGCGGTGCAGCCAGGGAGAGCACTGCTGCCATCACCCGCAACACCCAGAAATCACGTATTGCGCGCCGAATGGTGAGATTTGCGATTGATGTGAATAAATTTTTTATGACAAGGCAAATACGTGAAAAGGCAGAGGCATATGCTTTGGCTTGGGTTAGGAGTAGTCCCCGATTTAGGCTTAGGCTTAGGCTTGGGCTTACGCTTATGTTTAGGTTAAGACGTAGACTTAAGATTAGGGTTAGGCTTAGGCTTAGGCATAAGCCGACTTAGCTTAGTCTGAGGCTTACGTTGGGCTGTTTTAAGAATTAGTTTAGCGCAGTTTCGCGCCGGCCAGACATTTTGTGGTTAAATGGCAGTTTTTATGCCGGCCACTTATTTCGAATACAGAACCTGGATGCATGCATACAAATGAAACACCTCTATAAGATGTGGCGAGCGTACTGTTTTTTGAGACAATAAAAAATGTCCTGCATTCGATCGATCCTCATCTTGGCCGTGCTGTCCACGTCGGTCTCGTCGGCGTTCAACCCGACCCGAAATGATACCATGACATCAATGCCATGCCAGCAACACAAAGATTGCGGCGATTGGCACTTCTGCAACGTGGCCAACCGTTGTGAGCCCAAGGTATGGCCAGAGCTGGGCTCGAGCTTAGACTTAGCGTAAGCTTAGCTTAGGCTTAGGCTTAGGCTTAGGCTTAGGCTTAGGCTTAGGCTTAGGCTTAGCTTAGGCTTAGGCTTAGCTTAGGCTTAGCGTAGGCTTAGCTTAGGCTTAGCGTAGGCTTAGCTTAGGCTTAGGCTTAGGCTCAGCTTACGCTTAGCTTACGCTTAGCTTAGGCTGAGCGTAGGTTTAGCAAAACAGCTAGTGGTGATCCTTTTCAGCAGATGATTTGGCCCGGTCATAAATGCTACCCTAATGCGGTGGCCGACCGTTGCCCCGATGGGTATTTGTGCTGTCGCGTCACCTCAAAGTGCCAGCTGGCGACCAAAGTTTGCGGGAAAATAAATAGGCAATAAGGATAAATTTTGTTCGATACTGTTTAAATATCATACAATACGAAGTCGATTAAGCACAGACGGTCCGGAATTCGGCAGTCCAAGTCTCCAATTTTAAAAATTAGTACGCTGTAATATTTGATAAACCCGCTTAAATTTCAATGGGGTCAATTTTTACACCTAACATTCGGCATTAAAAAACGCCGATATTCCGATTCCCGAAATCCACTTACGCCGACGTTCGGATCGAAAATTTTTGAATTTCGGGTTTCTGAAAAAAAATTCGAACACTTCGACATTATGATGGCTTTTTGGCGGCTTGCAAATGCGCGGCCAATGGTCGGCGCCGCTCTCAATGAATTCACATTCGTACAGTCTCGTACAGCCTAAAATCTTTGGCCTCCGAGAAACGAAGAGCAATCAGCTGCAAATTCGATGTGACTGCAGCAGCCAGCGCTGGCGACTGCATAAAATAATGTGGAGTGGTATAAAACTAGGAGACCATATTATTGTCAGGTGAAAATGCGCTCGGTTTTCTGTCTGCCCTACTGTTCGCTACTGTTGCCCCGGTGATGGTAGGAACTTCTACTGGGATAGTTGGACTACGAATTTTATAGTTCCGGTGCGATAGGGATCGTGACTGCCGCGCAGAGATGTTCTGCGGCACCCGTAAACTATGCGAGCCTAGGGTATTTGAGTCGGACGGGGTTGCTTTCCAGGGAGAGAGAGAGGGGGGAGAGAGAGAGAGACAGAGTGTAAGAGAGAAAGAGAGAGAGAGAAAGAGAGAGAGAGAGATAGAGATAGGCAGAGAGGGAGAGATAGAGAGTGAGAGCGACTGAGAGATAAAGACTTCCTCCTTTCGCTATCTTATTATTATCTTTATGATTTTTTTTCTTCTAGCAAGTTTTGAATTTGGTGTCTATTCCACCCCTTTCCAGAAGCAAAACCTGCCCGGTGAGACTTGTGATGGAGTTGGCGTAGGCTGCACCGCAGGCCATTTCTGTGCCATTTCCGTCGCTGCGCCAATGATCGGTCGCTGTGCTGTGGAATCACTAAAGATGCCCTAACAGGATTAATGGTAAAAACTAGAACGTCGTGTCACATCCAAACTACGGCGTCCAAGATCGAGCACGCAACTACAAGACTCAACCCTGCTCTCCCAATAATGGCTAGTTCCCGGGATCCCGAGACCTGACGGGACTAAAAATGAAGCGCTTAATTTGCCTTGACGCGGTGGGAAAACACAGAAAAGTTCAGAGTCAGAGGACGGAGTACTAAAGTTGGAAAAATACTGTATCTGAGTAACAAAAAAAAGTAAAAAAGTCTGTTCAGTATCGCTTTCCCAATCGATATTTTTTTTGGAGGAACTTCGTTTTTCAAATTCTAGACGGCAAGACGAATAAATTGCGTTGCTCTCTGGGGCAAAAATCCCGTAACTGAAATAAGCCAGAAACCATGTCGGGAATTCGACAATCGATGATGATTTTCGAAATCGTCACCCTGGATGGGCATTAAAAATCGAATCGTAATAAAACATATTGTTTTTCCGAGGTTCGAAATTCAGGCGATAAGTTACGACATGTAAATCAACAGCCACAGCGCCCAAAAAAATGGAATAATTTTAAAAAATATTGCTTTTAGAGGCGGCATCTCGCGTTTGACGTGTCAGCTCATCTTTAAAAATGCCGCTAAAAATATTTCTGCTCTTTCTTTTCCTTAATTATGCAGTTTCCGGAAATTATCTAACCAACAGCAAATTGCCGGTAATTTCAAACAATTTATATCGATCGAAAAGTGACAATTTAGCCACTCTGCCAGGGCCAGGGCGATTGCCAAGCCAACTTCCACTGCGCGCAGGTCTCGATCTTTGTCCGGAAGTGCATTCCGAAGGTGATTTTGAAGGTATCTAGTGCGAGGGCAGAATTTAGCAAATCGTCTACGGTCGGTGCAGTCTGGCAAATCATATGGAACGTTGTGCGGACGGGTTTTTCTGCTGTGCCCACGCCATTATCGGGTTTTGCGCTCGGAATGGGGAACGCCAATGTTTGTAATTCGGAAGCTTGGAGAATTTGATAAATTGTTGATGGATCGGAGCGGCTACAGAGAAACCACACAATAACAATCCTAAGCAAAAAGTGAAACATATCTCTCTCGCTGTCTCTCTCTCTCTTATTCTCGCTCTGCTCTCTCTCTCTCTCCCTCTTTCTCGCTCTCGCCAGCGCTCTCGCTACCTCTCTCTCTCTCTTTTTCTCGCTTTCGCTCTCGTACTCTCTCTCTCTCTCTCTCTCTCTCTCTCTCTCACTCACTAATTTTGTTATGGTGTTGCAGCATGGTGCCAGCAGCGTACCGTTCCGTAACGTAGCGTCGTGCGCTTCACCGTGGTTAATCCAGTGGCTGGCGCGTAATTTGGTGTATTGTAGCGTAACGCTGCGTTGTGCGCTCTGCGCTGTACTAGCGTATTTTGTTATCCTCTGCATACCTTCCAATGACATTTTCCCACCCAAAAAATTTATTCTAAGCCACGGACACGGGGGCGAAAAACAGGATGCGAAAGGAGGGGACATACAAAACGAGGGGAGGGGACAGAGACACATAGGGTGCATACGAGAGATCATAGAAAAGGGGGAGTGGCATGTGAACTAGAGAGGGGGAGGCGTCCCGGGCGTTCCTTGGTAGATGACCGCCCGAAGTCTTCGGCGCGACGCACCATGTTGTCGCGGCGTCTAGCCGCGAAGGTCGGCCTCCTGCTGGGAGAACTGCTGGACGAGCTGCTGGCCGAGAGCGATGGCGTCTGAAAAAAACCAGGTTCTAGGTTTCGCCCCGGCTTGGGCTTAGGCTTGGGCTTAGCTCAAGCTCATCACTCACCATCCTTCGTCTTCAGCCGACCCTCCTGAACGGCGCTGGCCAGCTCCTCGCCGACGCCGTTGATGAGCCGCAGGTCTAAAAGCCGAATTCCAGAGCCGGCCACTGGAAGCCAACCATCGCTACGCGACGCCATCGACGCGGTCAGCTCGTCCTGCTTGCTGCAGGCAAAGCGGATGGAGGGGAGGACAGGCTCCTGCTGGCATGCCAGCTTCAGCGTCTCGACCACCAATGCGTCGGTCGGATCGGGGGCCGTGCCCTGGGAGATGACCTTCCGGGCGACCTCCTTGAAGAAGCGCTGACGGTCTGGAAAATGGGGATCATTGATGACGTCTAGTGGATTCTCTCCCTCATTCTCTCTCGCTCTCTCTCTCTCTCTCTCTCTCTCTCTCTCTCTCCGTCTCGCTCTCTCCCACCCTGCGGTCCAAGGTTCATCCACGGGCGTCGTCCGTGCGTCAGCTCGAACAGCGTGGAGGCCACCTTCCGAGCGGGTGTTTGGACGCCTAAAAAAACCGAGAATACACGATATTGCAGAATACCTCGTTCGCCCTGCTCCTCGCTGCGCAGCAGCTGCTCGGTGAGCCCGTTCAGACGCTGGAGCACGACCCTTTGGCTCTCCGGCAGCCCGTTCCGCCCGAGGAGGCCGTCCTCACACATCGGAATCTTGTCGCTGTCCATCGGGAAGTGTTTCTTGACGACTTTTTGAGACGGGCAGCCACTGGAAAAGTCAAGGTGGTAGAGGATTCACCCCTTCACCGGATAAACCATCCCAAAGCCGGCGAAAATGCAGGCGATAAACGTACAGGAAACTCCAGCAGATGCAGGTGACGTGCTTGTACGTCGCAGGATAGCGCGCTCGCCCTGTTCCTTCGTCGTCGTCCCGCGGCGGCGGCCTCCTGCTCCGTACAAAATTGTAAAACAAGGTCAGTCGGTTTTAGCCAAAATTTGTAATTTTTTTTGCTCAGGAATAAGCGGATTTGCTCTTCATATTCATAAAATTCGGACCAAAAAAAATTGGAGCAATTTTGGGCCTTTCAACCACATTTTTTCAGTTCTATAGTTCAAAATTCGCCTACAGCATGCTGGTGACGGCAATCTCCATGAGACGCTCGATGACCTGCTTGCGCTGCTTACTGAATTAGGAGGCTTTAAGTTTCAAGTTTCAAATCTCGTACATGTCCCTGATGCGCGCCGTCTGACGCAGGCCCGGCGGCATCACGATCGGGATCTTCTTCTGCTTCAGGAAGTTCATGGTCACGTCGAAGAGGCCATCCTGGCCGAGCAGGGATTGTTGGCTGAAAAAAATGGTAGGTCCGTGAAAGTCGAAGCTGAACATTTTCAGATTGTTGTTACTAAAATTGGTTTCAATTTGTAGATTTGTATTATTGTGCCCAGGAATAGACAAAACTAGTTTAGATTAGAGAGCGAGATTTAAATTAGAAAACAGCAATTTAAGAACTCCAGTACTTGTGGATGACGCGGGCCAGGGCTTGCTTGTCGGTGTCGGGCACGACACGGGCGAGGTGTTCGCCCCACTGGACCATCTGCTGGTCGGCGGTCGAGGCGACCAGATCGGCCGGCTGGGAGCGATCAATATAGGGACGCAAGGTTTGGCGCAACTCGTCCGGGAACATCCGCTCCCTGAAGGCAGGTTGAAATTGGTGCTGCTCGAATTGGACCCACTGCATCGCTTGCAGAGCAGCGGTGAGCAGGATCTCGACCCTCTTGTTTCGGACGCTGCTAGAAGAGGCACATATTCTTAAGGTTAGGCGTAGGCTTAGGCTTAGGCTTATGCTTAGTCTCAGGGTTTGCTTGGGCTTTCTAGACTTATGATTACGCTTACGCTTACTTAGACTTCGATACGTAAACTGCACCATAGCCACCCACGTATCCTCCAGCGACATGGCGTCGGCGAGCGGCTGCGGGATCTCGTTCAGCAGCCCCTTGCTGCTCAGCCACGGTAGGAAGTGCACCGCCCGCGGCCCGAACTCAAAATCCGGTTCGCTGCAAAGAACCGATGGTGCTTGTTGGGGGCACAGCTCACCTCAGCTTGGCCTTGAGCACCTCGACGTCCCGGCTCGACAGCTGGGCGAACAGCTTCTTGCCCCAGATTTTCATCTCCTGGTCCGTGTCGCCCTGGGCCAGGCAGCCGCTAAAAATGAGGACTAATTTGCATCCGAGTTCAGCATACCTGGCGAGCAGCGCGGCGCAGAGCAGCAGTTTCAGGCCCATCCGGTGTGGTGGGTAGGGTTTTTTGAAGGAATGAGCGCTCGAGCAACCATTTTTTCCTAACTACCCGGGCTTGTATGCAAATCATGTTGACCGGACTTCCGGATTCAAATTCAATACCCAAAGATTTTTGCACTGTTCGGTTGGTTGGGCTTGTTCAGTTAAACTTACAAAAACGTCACAAACAATACAAAAACGGTTAAACTTCGCTTGTCTTAGGCTATTGCTAGGCCTTAAGCCTAGGATTTCACATAAACTTTGGCTTCAACAAAATGTTTCGTCATTTCACAAAAGAAATTTGCTGGAATCATTGCCCACAACTGACCTCCGGAATGCAAAACAATCACTTAAAGTTTGATTCATCCGAAAACGAGGCATGTTGAAAGTTTTGACTGCGGCGGAATCAACTTTCGAATCAATTTTGGCAGTTTCAAAATTGGAATTCCTGGAGTGGCCCTATAAAAAGCGTGGAATCGCTTTCAGTGCTAAGAACTTCCGAAGTGATGAAGCTCCTACTTCTGCTGGCAGTTCTGGTGATTGGCTCCCAACAAAAGTCGTGCTGCCCGGTAAGTCTCAGGTTAGTTTTTGTACTTTTTTTTAAGTTTGCCTTTTTCAACCGTTTTTCAAGCAGCCCTTTGCCCCAGTTTTCTTTTGGTAAATAGGCGCATGCGTAGGAATACCAGAATCGATGCTTTAACGTAATGTAACGTAATATAACGCAATGTATTTTTAGTGTTTTTACTGGTTTTTCCAGTGAATTTTGGTTGTTTGGTGTCCATTTCAGCGAAAATTTTTTAAAATAAGCTCTAAATTTGAAAAAATTCTACGTAGGGAATTCTTGGAAAATTGCCTCCCCCCCGCTAACCGTCCAGTACCGAGTTTTCCAGGACGGCTGGCCGCCTTATCCTATTCCCGAGCCTGGAAACGAGGGCTGCTGGTGGGGATGCCCGGAGGGACAGACTTGCAAAATCGGAGGAGTCTGCGTCGTAGATACGAGCTCAACGCCGGAACCTGACACGACCCCAAAAATGCCTGACTGCCAACTCGATGGTTGCCCAACCGAGCAGACCTGCAAGTTCTCAAGAATCCTTGAAGTTTGGCATTGCGTTGATGGGGTGAGCGGTTTGAATTCGAGCAGACTGCCTTGTACCGGGAGGGTCTAAAAAAATTTGTAGATTCCGGAAGATACGACCACTTCGCCATCGTCGTCGACGCCGGAAAATACCGAAAATCCAACGACAGAATCAGAATGGCACTGTGACATCTTGTGCCCATTTGGACAAGCTTGCGTCAAGGGGCCCTTCGGGTCGGAGTGCTTCGGAGATGTAAGGATCTTGTGAGTATGCCTGTCTCTCTCTCTCTCTCTCTCTCTCTCTATCTCTCTCATTCTCTCACACGGCATTCTATTAACAACGCAACCCTAGATTCCCGATTTCCCTTGCGGGATCGGTGGCTGTGACGATGATCGACCCTAATTTCGATCAAGCCACACGAATGAAGCGCTTAAAAAATGGTTGTTGCATTAATAAACGTTTCTATCGACTTTCAAGGAAATACCCAGGATCGTGGCTATTATCACCAGATATTATTAGATACGCCAGCAAAAAAAGTAATTCTCTCGCTTTTAAAGAATCTCGTTTTTCCTAACCTCGCTTTTTTGTTTCGCAGATTCCGGTGATTCAATTCTTTTTTGGAAAAGGGAATTCATCAGAAGAAACGTTTTCAGTTTAAATCTATCTCTCTCTCTCTCGCTCGCTCTCTCTCACATACCCTCACCAAAAATCACTCTAGTGAACGAAACCTGTGACATTTCCTCCCATTTGTCGGTTCCTCACTTTTTCCATAATTTTCTTTAAAGTGTTCGTCACCTGCCGGGCGTTGAATGGGTGATTCAGATGATGGACAATTCTAGAGGTCCTAAGAGTGGGCGGAAATTGCGACGCCAAAGCTGAAAAGTTTTGCCGCCTTTAAAAGCGCACAGCAACCTTACTCTAAAAAATGAACTTTCTAATTTGTCTCGCCGTCTTCGCCTACGTGGCCATGGTCACTGGCCAATGGCCACACTTTACCTATATGGTAGGTAGGACGCGTTGTTTTCGTTGGGAATTCCGACTTAAAAAGCAAAAAGCCGATCAACGATGCTCAAATAATTAAAATTGCTAGAAAAATTTAGCCTATGTATTTTGGATGCCTGCCGGACGGCTGTTACGAAGACGAGATTTGTGATGAGGGAAGATGTGTGCGGGATCCGAACAACCCCCGCTTGGTGGGGAGACCGGAAGACATTTTTAAGGCAAGGATGGCAAGGCGAGGCAAGGAGATGCAGCGTTGAGATGCGATGGAGTTGCCCTTCCTTAAACGACGAATCCATCGATCTACCCCAAACTATTTTAATTCTAGATATTTTTCGTGAAATAAACGTTTTATGCACTTGCGACTCCTTGACAAAACATATCCAAAAAAAAACGTTAAAAAGGTGGCAATTGACAAGTCAAGAATTTATGGAATCTCACAAATCCTTGAAAATATTTTGTATTCGGACAGCTTGCTGCACAGACAAAAAACCTCATCGTCACCAGGCGTCACTGAATTTTTGACACTTTCAAAACAAAATTTTCCCTATTCACACTGCATATCGCGCATTTTGAAGTAGCCGAGCCATTTCAGCCCTGATGATAGTTCTATTTTTCTTGTATTACTTAATTCTAGCCAATGCAACAGTTTGGAACTGTCCGGTAAAAATATATTTGAAATCCATGGGCAATGCAAAATTCTCCAGGATGACGGAACATCCGGAATTCCAGATAGACCGGAATTTTGGTTAACCCATTGCTGTGAATGCGGATGCGAGCCAGGGTTTTCATGTTTCCGCGTGGATATCGGGTGGACTTGCAAGCGGAATAATGTACTGTAACGTACATTCAATTTGCGTTCATTAAACGCATTTGGTATTGATTTTGACTTTTTAGCCTTTTTGGTAGCTTTAACTTGATAATTGTTAGTACCTAAGTAAATAGATCAAATAGTGAAGGTTTTGTCGATATTTGCTTCAAAAAATACTTATTTTGAAGCGATGGAATCCGCCGGATGCTAACGGCTGCCAACTGCATGGTTGCGCGCCCGGACGCGAATGCCGTAAAGATGATGGAAGCCCAAAATGCATGCCCATTTGATTTACTGGTTTTTAAATAAATTCAATGATCGTATAGCTACAAAAAATTTGTGTAAAAAGTGTAAAAAGCTAACATCATTCTAAAAACTTAAATTGCTTAAAAACATTCATAGCATCGAAGTTGGCCGAAAAATTGGTCGAAAAATTTTTCGAGGTTCCAAATTTTGGCATTTTTAAAGAGATGAGGACGGCATCTGTTGGGGGCAGGGGGGGGTTCAACAGATGCAGCGGCGAGAGAGGGCGCCCAGAGGAGAGGCGCAGAGACATTTTCTTTCCCGCGCGTAATCGATTGACTGATGCCGCCCTTATCCCTTTAACAAGTGCTCTCAGACTAAGAAACTTGATTGTGGTCATGTTCATCTATCCAGCCAACAACCCTTCCTGTCCGAGTGCAAGGATCAGCAGCTCATCTTTTTGGCCATTCCTCGATCCCCTCAATCGGGCCCTGTCCATCCATCCGGTCCTCCTCACCGGTCCGGAAAGAGCGGGGAAAGTGAGCCCGGGGGGCTGCAGGGTATCGGGGCCCAGGCCAAGCATTACACAACCAGCTTCACCTCTCGGCCAGCACCCGCTCATTTCCAGGATATGCACACACAAAGAGAGGAACCCCACCTCGCCCTCAGCCGCTCGTTTCGCCCAAGTTGAACACACCATGCTTTTTTGGGAGTACTCTTGTTTTTGTTTCTGTCGCTTTCAACGCCTTTGACTGGTTTGAGCTGGTCTTGAGTCAGGGAGGATGGGTTAGTCAATGTTAATGGGGGCTTAACTTGGTAGTTAATTAAATTCTCGTTTCTCGGTATCGCTCTCGCTCTCTCTCTCTCGCTCGTCTCTCGCTTCCTCTCACTCTCTCATGGTTGTTACTATCGGTGGGAGTAAATTACCGGCTACCAATCTCTCTCTATGTCTCCCTCTTTCTCGCTCGCTCGCTCTCTCTCTCTCTCTCTCTCTCACTCTCTCACTCTCTCTCTCTCTCTCTCTCTCCGCACCCTTCCCCTTACGTTTTTCTCTTTTTCTCGCTTTATCCGTCACTACCATTCTCTCGCCCTTTATCCAACCCTCTTCCTCTGTTTCTCTCTCCCTCTATCTCGCTCTCTCTCTCACTCTTGCCTCTGCAAAGTGCTCTAATGCCATTGGAGTGACAAACTCCAGACAATTATAGCTCCAGGCACGCAAGTTTTGCGCTTATTTCTTCCCTTTGTCTCGCTCCTTGGCACACACTCACTCTCTCTCTCTCTCTCTCTCTCTCTCTCTCTCTCTTTTCCAATGCGTTCATTCCCCTTTTGTTTTCTTTGAGGGCATGTGTTCAAAGAAGAATTTTCAAGTGCGGATCGGATTCGGCCCGGGGGCCCTTCTCGGCGGTGGTTGTTGGCCGCAGCTAAACAAAAGCGACGACGCGACTTTTCGAGATTCGACTTTGCCGATACTTGATGCGATAGAGGAGGTAATATCTGTTAAATGGAAAGTTAATTGTTACTGGCTCTTAATGGTTTTTATGAAAGGGCCGAACGAAAAGCTTCTCTGCGTGTAATTGTTGTGCTTTGGGATTCGTAGACATTAGGCTTTTTCCGTGGGTTTCGGGGTGAGTGTTTCCTGGATAAAGAAAGCTTCTGTCACCCATTCCATTTCCCGGAGTTATCGCTTTTGCGGCCCGGATAAGCGGGCAAACATCTGGGGCCCTTGGCCCCGGCCGTGCCACCAACCGATTGGCCTCTATTTTGATTTCCTTGTGATCAATTTGTCGGTAGTTTTTTATAAAATTCTGATTTTTAATTTAAAGATGCGGTGTTTAAAGAGGTTTTAGCGAGAAGAAAGCTCACGTTGTCCCGATTTTAGCCATAGGTATCGCAAGCCACGTTTCGCTCCAAATGACAGCTTGGTCAGTGTCATATTTGTAGCCAGAAACCCTGTCGGGCAAAAAGCCGTCGACGCCTAGACCTGGCCGGGAGTCGATTCTCCGCTTTGCTTTCCCTTTAAACAGCTGGTTGTCAATTGAAAACTTTTACCCCTTTACAGTATCCGTCGAGTATCTTTCTTGTTCCGACTTTCTCTTAGAGCCCCTGATTTACAAAATTTAAAAAGTATACCAGGGTTGAAAAGCCGCTTCGCGACTTTTCAACCCTGGCCCCGTCCAACCCAATGAAAGTTTACACGTTGCATAATCCGGCACGCCCACGCTGAAAAAAAGTGAAAAATGCGCTCTCTGCTACTTTATATAGGCTCTCCCCACTTCCGGTGTATGCTAATTGATTCCTAACAAAGAGGGCGTTGGATTTTCAACAAAAACTAAAATTTAATGTCGAAAATAGACGATTTTCATAAATCTGATTTGTGTGCAGTCATCTCCTGGACATTATGCACGTAATGACGTATCAAACATGACCTTAACTACTCTCCTTCTTGAGATACGACTGGAACAACCTGACGGAAGTTGCATGCAAAGTGTCATACACACACACACAAACACTATTTTTTTATATATAGTAGGAATAGCTTTAAGCGCTTAGGCAATTTTTGTAATGTTTTCAACACAGCAAGCGAAAATGTTCAAAATGTAGACATCGATAGAACTAGCAGAGTCCCAACCTTAACTTTAACTTACAACGAGACGTTTTTGAGTGTCGTCGGGACTTTGGCATGGGACCAAGCCTATCTTGTGCAGAATTTTACGCTAATTCCGAATATGGTAACCGTGTTTGCGGAATAGCCATTTCTCGAAAGTTACGAACGATTTAAACCTCAAAACAGCCCAAAATCGGCTACTTTCAATAGTCATAAAAGGCTTCGGAATAGGTTAGACAAAACCAGATAGTGCGTCTTATTGTTTAGAAAATAATTTTCTATAAAATAAGCTACTTAACTCAAAAATGTTGGAATTTTGAAAATTTTTGTAAAATTATTGGCCTCCCAATTTATCAATTTTTACCAACTTTTCAATGATTTTGGAGAAGATGGTATATTTTATAGAGAATTTTTTTTCTGAACAAGATGTACTATCTAGTTTTGTCTAAAACCTATTCCGAAGCCTTTTATGACTACTGAAAGTAGCCGATTTTGGGCTGTTTTGAGGTTTAAATCGTTCATAAGTTTCGAGAAATGGCTATTCTGCAAAAACGGTTACTATTTTCGGGATCAGCGCAAAATTCTGCACAAGATAGGCTTGGCACCATGCCAAGGTCCCGACGACACTCAAAAACGTCTCCTTGTTAGGTGAATTTTTGCTGGGGCACTTTCGACTCGCCAGTGCATTTTATGCAGTTTGCCAAAATCCATACCTAGCGAAACAACAACCCCGATGCAGTCGAAATCAGCCTCAATCGAAATGGGCAGGTAACATCCGGTGGAAGGTCCCCCAGATATCCGACATTGTGTACCCAAGAAGCCCTTGAGAGATGGGGGCAGACCGTCGGCATGGGATAAGGATCCCGGCGAGAGAGCACCAGACATGGAGAGAATTCGAGAATACCAGCTTCCATCCACCTCTGAAGGCCCCCAGTCGCGAAGCCATCATTTTTGTAATCATCCCCCGAGCTCGCGCAACCCACATGTCAATTCGGTTCGCTTGACTGCTATTGCTGCCCCGGGTCCCGCCACGAACGCTATACCGTATTCAGAAAAAAATGGAAAAACTAAAGGAAAATTCGTGCTTTGTTTAAGACTGGATTTTGGAGTTAATCGGCGCCTCGAAAACCTGATTATTCATCGAATTTTGGTGAAAATTACTTGAATTTCTACGTATTCATTTAATCCCCGAGTTATTACTGTGTTTCGGAGCGATTTGGAACCTCGAAAACTCAAAACTATTCTTTTAATCTTTCTAAAAATACTCCAATTGCTATCTTTTCTGATCCAATTCCCTCACGGTATTTTCTAGGGTGCCGGATTTTCTGGGTTTTCAAGCTCGAAAAAATCCTTTTTCCTGTACCCCGATTCCCTTAAAAATGGACCCTATCAAAATTCGCGAGCACCTAACGACAGCCCTAAATATTGTCGCTGCCCCCATCCGCAAGCAGTTCACCGCCGCCAAGCCGATCATTCGAAAACATTGGCAGGATGGCAAAGAGGCGATCGCCAAAAAGCTTCCGCCCGGTTTTCTCGACGCGGCCGCTTTGCCGGCGTTGATGGTCTTCTGTGTGTCGTTGCTGTACATTGCCGCCCAGTTTGTAACACCGGAAAATGTTAAGCACACTTCGAGTAGTGTCAGACAGGCGGCTACCACTTGTGGGTGATGCTCACGGTTTATGATAACAAATTCAAGGAGGACGGCGTTCATCCAGTGCTTTTTCTCACCGGAATAGCAATGGTTTTCAATATTGAAAAAATATAAATTTTTCTATCTTTTTTGTTGAAAGCTTTTTAGTAGGTTATAATAACTTAAGAAAACAAGTTCAAGGAGGACAGTGTTTTCCTACGGGTTTTCAATTTTTTCGCAACTAAAAAAACTCATTATCTAGTGCGCGCCGTCGTGACAATGGACGGGTTCATCTGGGTGGTCATCTCCTGGAGCATCGTCGGCGGGCTGTGCTATTATGCGCTCAACAAGCTCGGCATCACCAACAATGTAGGGCTTATCGAAAACGGCCTTATATATTCTTTCAGGGTGGGCAAATGCCGGGCGCCGGGCGCTTGAACTCCTCGACGACGTCGGCATCCGGATCCGCCTCAAACGGGTTGGTTTCGCTTTCGTATTTTATGATTGTTTTCAGAGCGAACTGCGACTGGGCGAACGACGTGATCGTGTGGTTGTACGCGAATTTGCATAGGGTACCCGGGCCGCTGGATGCTTGGCTTAAGTCGTTGAACGACGCGGCGAAGAAGGTCACCAGCCCGGTAGGGGTTTTTCAAACAAATGCCAAAATTTAATTTACGAAAAACCAAGTTGTGACCTTTTCAGACAAAATGCGAGATTCTTTTCGAGGGCTTCGGCGATCACTCGCAGATCACTAACAGCCCGAAGTTGAGGAACGTTCGGGTGCAGAACGGGCCCAGGGATCATTTGGTACGTAGTGCAACTAGTGAAGATGGTAGTGTTGAAATCCAGACTCTTCGAACTGATCTTCACATCCCGCACACCCGGCTGAAGCTCGTATCCAGCCAGCGGGCCGATCAGAGGATGATTGTTACGAATTATGATGTGGACATTACGGATTTGAGGGGCGAGGTGGGTGGTTCAAGAGGCTTTAAAGGAACGAGCAAGGCACGTTTGGTCAGTTTCCGGCTATGGGCTTGACTGAACGCCCGCTAATCGTTGTCATTAAATTACGTAATGGATTATAGCCCTGAAAAACACGTAAAGCCCACGGAAAACGATAACGATAAATCCGAAAAAATATCCCTTGCCGATACCTTTGATTCTGGCTTTAAAAATCGATGCCTTTTTCTACACCACCGTAACCTATTAAAATTCAAACAAATTTTTTTAGGTGGAAGCCCGAGTGGCGTGTATCGCCGGGCAGCTCTACGTGATGGGCTGCTTCAGCGGCCGACCAGAGATGGAGATCCAGTTGCGGAACACGGATGCGAGAGCGGTTAGTATTTACAAATAATGGTCCCTTAAGTTGCTAGTATTTCGTACCGATCCGATTTCGGTATTTTCAAATTATCAAAATCCCGAAACCGATCTTATCCGCAATTTCAGGCTGCTGAAGTCGACCGTGCCCTCGTTGAAGATGCCATCCGCCGCTGCCTCGTCTCGGCGGTCACGAATGTCAATTTATCCGATACCACTTCTTCGATTAGGTAGATTTTCGCCATTTTTTTCGCAAACTGTGGCGTTTTTAGGAATTCGATGGACCTAGGGGCTTCAGATGCGCACAAGCGACTTTCTGCGAATGGAATTGTACCTGTTAAATTTTGATCTCAACCAGTTTTCAGGGAAACATCTCAAATGGTTATTCGGCCACACATTCCTCACCTACAGCAAATCCGAGACTAGGGTGAGTCTTCCGCTCACTGTCTCTCTCTCTCTCTCCTCTCTCTCTCTCTCTCTCTCTCCCTTTCTCTCTCTCGCTCTGGCCCTCTCTCTCTCTCCCACTCTCTCTCTATCTCCCTCAAAACAACATCCTTTAGAAAATCGCCGCAATCCAGCTTCAACGCTTCTTTCGACAACCGTTCAGCAGACGAGGTGCTGCTCAAAAAATGGAGTACCACTCAGGCATCGTTTACTTTCAATAAAATTCATTATATTTAATTTATTTCAGAACCCGCTTCATCCAACCGAGACGCAAAACGCCCCGAACAAGTTGAAGATCACGGTGATCAAGGCGGGCAAGCTGGGCAAAGGCATTGGTAAGTAACTAAAGATTAAATTTCTTGGTCCACGATATTCGCTCAGTCTACATAGTTTTTTAGAAGTTAACCAACCCTACGTGGTGATCGAGACCGACGAGCCACCCCAGCGCTTCCAAACGACAAAAGGCATCAACGCGAACCCGTACTGGGAGGAGACGTTCGACTTGTGAGTAGAATTACGTGCATCCGGATTTGCGATTTCCGTAATTACTAATTACGTATTTTGAAAAGCAGCAATAAACCAGAACAAATGCCCCCAATTTTAGCGAGCTCAATCCGGCCACTGAGGAGATGCTCTTTGAAGTGTATGACGGGAAGCCGAACCGACCCCCCTCTACCGATGATACATTCTTAGGGCTTGCCATCGTCAATTTGGAGGAGGTTCAGCGCTCCAGTGATGTAAAACAAAATTGTAAGACTTACAAATCCACGATTTTTAGAATATGCATACCTTAAACTTACAAGGACGACCGTACAGAAATGATGCGGTTCAGGGGCAGCTGACTTGTCAGGTAGGGAGAGAGAGAGAGAGAGAGAGAGAGAGAGAGAGAGAGAGCAGAGCCAGAGAGAGACAGAGAGAGAGCCAGAGAGAGATGGAGAGAGAGAGAGAGAGCGAGAGAGCGAGAGAGATGCATCGAATGCAATTCCGACAGTTCAGTTTTTCCAGTTCAATTACTACTACGACCCCAGCATCCGCCAGCTTGGCCGTGTCAGCGATACGGTAATCGTGAAGGACAACACTGGCGGGGAATTCCGGGAAACGGTCAGCACGCAGAGGAGGATTGTGTACGATCCACATGGTGTGTTTTAGGGCTGGGATGTAGTGATTCCCAATAATCTTCAAAAAACCTCTTGTTTTCCAGATAATTTCGACGATGCTATCCCCAGCAAGACTACGACAGTGACCGTCAAGACGGTATCGCAGGTACAACCCAGCTAACATATTAAGAAAGGCTGCTTAACTTCTAAGTAAGTAATTGACCAATTTAGTCCCTCAAAGAAAGGCCGACCATTGAGTCCGTTCATGGATCTATGGAAAACGCCATCGACCCGGCCACACAGAGACATTTGGACAAATTGAGGGACCAGCACTTTGAGGTATCTTTTGAGCTGGGTAATTCTGAAGTCATTATCTAGACGGGAATCATGAGCCAATCCCTCAACAGCAACGATTCTTCGCTTCACCCGTACCATGAGTCGCAGATCACGACGATATCCGTTCCGCCGGTGGCTGTCGTTGAGGATCGGCAAAGTAGAGGTTAGAGAGAGAGAGAGAGAGAGAGAGAGAGAGATCGTGTCGTGACATGAGAGATAGCAAAATACTGATGGAAAGTGAGAGAGCGAGAGACCGAGTGAAAGCGAGACACCGAGAGATAGAGAGAGAGAGAGAGAGAGAGAGAGAGAGAAACCGGGCAGCAAGATTTTTTGGAATTTTTACCATTTAAACTTCTGCCGAACCCGTTCTCTCATACATTTTTTTTTCTTGCTCTTTAGTCTCCTCATACGGTTTTATTCGTCGCTGTACCACGATGTTGACAGGTAGCTAACAACATTCCCATTACCCTCCAACCTCCGCTGAAAATTATCCCAAATCCATAAAACATCGTTCCTCCCAGGCCACCCCATCTTTCGGCCCATCCGCGAGTGTGTCCGTTCTCGGAAGCGAGGTCTCGTATCGTGTACTAAATCCCCGATTTTCGATTTTATCTGTTCTCCCAGCTATCAGATATTTAATGTACTCCCCAAAATGAACGCCCCTTGCTAATGAGGCATTAAAGAGCTCAAGGATATGATAATTGTTACAGACCGTCAGAAGAAGCAGAAGGAGCCGAAGGAGAAGCGCGATCGCTCGTTTTTCGGGGCGATGAAGGACCGGCTGAGTGGGAAGAGGAGCAAGTCGGCAAAGAGGTACTTGTAAATCAGTGGTTTTAAGGTGCAAAACCAGAGAACCCGAAACACTAATGAATTATACCTTCCAGAGCCCAATCGTTCGACATGGACACGCAACAACAACACCGCGAAGCCATGTCGGTACCCGCAAGCCGCGACGCGTCTCGGACGCGTTACGGTAGCATCTACGATTCAGCAAGCAACCCAAATCTTTTTCACCAGATAGTGAAGGCGGTATCTACGCGGAAACGGCGTCCGTTGGCGGCCGATCCGGCGAGTCGACCCGTTCCCTCTATCAGCACAGCACCCTCGTGCTCGAGCTCAATCATAAGGGCCAGAAAAAGTAAGCGCGAGCTGAGCGATTTAAGATTAAAATTTGATAGATATTATTTGATTCCGCCTTCAATGCTCACCGAGCCTGTGGCGGCAAAGCTGATGAAGAAGGGCAAGAAGTTGCACATCTACAACGAGCATACGTTCGTGGCTGTGAAAGTTAGAAGGTGGGTCATTCTTCTCACTTACCGCCTCTCTCTCTCTCTCTCTTTCTCTCGCACTCGCTCGCTCTCTCTCTCTCTCTCTCTCGCTCTCTGTCTCTCTCTCGCTCATACACGCTCCATTTTCAGCAACATCGATTGCGACGTGTGTCATCAGAAAATTGGGCGCAGCTTCTCGAAACAAGCTTACCAGTGCAGAGGTAAGAATTGCAATTAATTGTGTTCCGCTACGCTATCATTTACACCTTTTTCACGTTCGATTACGCAATCTAATACCGCCCAAATTGTTTCAGACTGCAAAATGGTCACTCACAAATCCTGCCACTACAAGTCCGACGTCTTCTGCACGCACAGCAACGTCGCCAAGCTGCAAATGTGAGTAAAGAATTGTCAATCGCATATTTATACAACATTAAAGTAAACTGTTCTATTCAAATTTCAGTGAAAAAGAAGTGGACTGGATCCAGTTCCTCAGCAACCACCAGCTGGAAGAGTACATCTCGATGGAGGGCGTCTAAAACGCCCTAAACAGCTTTTTGCGATTTTTCTCGACCTTTAATTACAGAACGGGTCTGTTTTTTGCTATTTGTTTGCCTTAAAAGAAGCGCCATTAACACGAAAATGTAATGTAATTATTGCTTCTTTTGTAGCCTATTGCTTCCCGTTTTTTCCAAGGCTTTGGAAATGACGGTTTTCGCTATGTTGCTTGAATTTTACAATGCTTTATGGCGTCGATTTTCGGCTAGTTTTGCTCAATGGAAAAAGCTATTCGAATAAAATGTTTGATCAAAAAAATTAAGGCACGTTACAAATAAGGAAATTGGATCGAAGCAGTTTTAAATATAAAAACGCTCAAACTTTGAATTTTTTTATTTTTCTCGATTTTGAAATTTTTTATCGCCAAATTTTGGCTGTTTTTTTTAATCTGAACGTTATTTATAGAAAATACTTTATTTTTAATGAAGACATCTCTAACGGGCAGTCATAGCTATCGACTTCCACTAGAAATTTTCGAAAAATGCTCAAAATTCGGATTTTTTGTTACTTTTACTGATTTTAAGGTTAAACGTTTCAAAGTTTTGGCACATTTCGCTTAATTTAGAAGGTTTCACACGTAAAATATTTTATTAACAACTACAAAGATGTTAAAATACACGAAAAGGCGCAGTAACTCAGAGAAAATCGATGTGGTACCCGGATGGAGAATGAGAGAATTGCGAGAAATTGGGATAATCATGAAATCACAGACGTAAGGCGCGTTAAACAAGACGTTGAATGGGGATAATGTTGATGTGTGTGGAAAGCAGTAGTTTGTAGTCAGTGTTGGAGGTAGTTTTCGGAGCCGTCCCAGCAGTGGTCGCGAGGAGGTAGCTCCGTGTCGCGCCACCGTTCAAGCTGCATCCCGAGCAGGTGACTGTGCCACGGCTGCAAATCGTTATTTTAGATTTATTTTGTTGTTTATTTTATCCATAGCTTTTTCTAACTTTTTTCAAAAAGGAAGACGATTGCGTTGAATTGACAATTTTTAAAAACGGTACTTTTGTAATATCGGGGGTGGGGGACGTAACGGAGAGAATAAATTTTTCTTTAGGATCCAGTTTTAAACCATTAATTAACAAAAAAAATTAAACCAAAAACCACAATTAAACAGACAACAAAAACTGTCCTTTTAGGACATTTCAAAACGCAAAAACTTTTAATTTTGAGTAAAATTGCCAAAAAAAATGGCGGCGAAAATAGCGACCAAAATGTCGCAATCTTGAAATTTTCAGTGTTCTTTGTTACTTTTTTCTCCTAAAAATTTAATTATATTTACCTTTGGCTCGAAAAATTATTGAGAAACGCACCACCGCCGTTATTCGACAATTCGGGACTTTTCGGCGAAAAATTCGCAGCATAAAACGCGCACTAACGGCCCGAAAAATCCCACCCTTTGCAACAGCTCCGATCGATCGTCGACGGTCACGTATTTTAGGGACTAAAATGGAGCATATTCCGAATTTTTTCGTCTATATACCGTATCCTCCAGGTGGTAGGCGCGGGTGTTGAACGGGAACTGGGCGAAGCAACGGTTGTTCAGGGTTACCTAAGTCCTTTCGGGTGAATTAGCCGGGCAAGCCGCTTACCAAAATTCGGCCCTCCACGACGGCGAGCATCAGCTGCACGTACGGGCCATCGATTGAGGCTTGCCACTAAATTTAGATAACATGATCTTGTTTATGACTAAAATAATTTGAAGTGTATTTTCGTATTTAAATTGATTTTAAGTTTTTTTGTAAAGGGATTGCTTTAAATAATAAAACATAAAAACAATTCGAAAACACTTTATATTTGATCACCGGACCACCAGGAAAAAATCCCAATCAAGAAAAAATTAAAAAAAAAATAAGGAAATTGTTCAACGAGAAAACGTACAGGTACTGTCCAACTTTTTGCCGCTCGCTGGCGATTTAATCGATGGTCAGGTGGGAGTCGAAGGGTGGCGGATATTGCCTAAAATATCTATAGATTTGCCTTCAGGACACCTTTAAATAGAATAACAACGCAATTGCGCGGAATTTTCGCCGTTTCGCCCGCGCTATGCAGCGCGCGCACCGGTTCTTCGTGGTGGAGTTTCCGTTCCTATTACGCGATGAAATGACGCGCTTGCGTGCGCGTTGTGTAGCGCGTTTCGGCAAAATCCATAGCCATCTCTTGCCAGTCCCTTTAAAGTCATTTTCGACCCACCCGTTGATGAAATCGTATCTCGAACAACCAGCCCGACTCGCGATCCGTGTGAAACTGGAGGGCAAGGCTCGTCGAATGGCGCTCGATACCGTATATCTGAAATGACAAAAATAAAAATAGGTAAAACAGCTTAAAATACATTTTACGCCATTCCTTAGCAACCCACATCAGCCACAAAAACGTTCGGCATCTCTCGGGGCAAATTTCCAAGGGTCAACCCCCCACCGGTCAATTTTCGGATGCCATTGTCCTGAAAAGAGCCTTGTTTAACATGTTTAATCAAATCAATTATCAAAAATCATACTATAAAACGTGAAAAATACATTTTAAAAATTACCTCTTGCTTATATACACGACCGCCGATGCGAACCTGAAGCGGTATTCGTTGTGAGGTCCTCAAAGTGATGCCGAGAATTTCCTCGCCCGGAATATGACAATCACAGCGTTCGTCAGTATCCTGAAAACGATGTTAGCTTCTTAATAATTTGCCTTTTGATTAATTTTGAGTGTTGCGGTGAAAACTAGTTAAAAAAAAATACCTACCCAGGTCCCGGGCTTCATCTCCAGCACACAATCCTGACTTTGTAAAATGACGAGTCGATTCGCGGCAGTACCACCCTGAAATTTTTCATTTCAAAAGCGACAGAGAGAGCGAGCGAGGGAGTGAGAGAGAGAGAGGGAGCGAGAGAGAGAGAGACCAACCTTTGTAAATCTCGGTATCCGCCCGCCGGAACAATGTCGCGTCTCGCCCTCCGTGTACCGCAACGAGTAGGTGTAGCTGAACACGCAAAAATAATTGAGATTTCAGTGCTAGATAGAATTTTTGAGATAAGGAAAACCCACTTGACGTCCCGGGGCAAATTTCGGCCAAAAGTTAGCGTGATTCGATGCCCGAATTTGAGGGGGTTGAATTTTATCCTGGTCGGGGCCTGGAAAGAGTTAACTATTATTTATTTATTATTTCTTATTTATTATTTATTATTTATTATATTAATTTATTTCAATTAAGTTTACATCAAAAATACCAAGAAAATCGCCAAAAAATACGCACCCAAATTGTGTTCGGTCGAGTCAGTTGAGCGTGTGTAAAACTAAAAAAAAACGGTTTCAAAGCCATTAAAACTTGCATACCAAATTACAATCGCAAAAAGCCACCATCCCAGGCGCATCACCGAGTAGAAAAACGAATAAGTCCGTTAGTTCCGGCGACACCGCACCGGGTAGCATTTTAATTTTTGGGCGAATGGAAATTCGGTTGCAGCTCCGGGAAATTCGTGCTGGTCATGAAATTTGACAGGGGGTTCCCCGATAATGAACAATACGTGTCTTTTTATGTAGTTTCTTTTGGGGCACGATTTAGCAAGGACTCGCCTTGCTGATAAGCTGGCATCCATTGTTTTGTTGGGAAACTGGGAAGCGTTTTTTCGGTGTCGCATGAATTTTTTTTGTCTGACTCAGGCTGGGATCTTGGTTTGGAAGCCATGCCGGAAAAAGATAACACAAAATATAGCATATATAGCATTAAAGAGAGAGAGAGAGAGAGAGAGAGAGAGAGAGAAAGAGCGAGAGCGAGAGAGACAGAGAAAGATACAGAAAGAGAGAGAGATACGCATTTAGTACCTTTTTTCACCAAACAGTTCAATTTTCACTCTTCACTGAGGTTCAATTTGCCAAATCACGCGAATTTTTAGAGGTTTCTAGTTAACTTAAACTTAGCTTTTCGAATCCCATTCTGCACCGGTCAGCTGCCCTCGTCCCATTTTGAGCGGTCTCTTCCCTGTCAAATGAGAGAACGGCTGACCGCTAATGGGGGAAAGGTATAGTAAAAAACTTTCTCTTTCTGTCTCTCTCACTCCCTTTCTCTCACGCTCTCTCTCCCTCTCTCCCTCTATCTCTCTCTCTTTCTATCTCTCTCTCTCCATCTTCACTTAACTATTATCAGAAAAAGCAAACGGAAAGGAAAGATCTAGGTATTTATAAGGCCAGTGGATGCGCATTTAGAGCTGAATTTCGACTACCTTTTGCCTGCTAAAATGCTAATCAAATCTTTTATCGCCTGCTCCATCCTTTGTATCGTTACAGCAAAGCCAACGTAAGCTGTAACGACTTGTTTTTAATTGACTAAAAATTTAGATCAACCCGTGAAGCCACCGAGTTGGCCCTCGACGAGAAGGGAAATTCGAAATTCACGTCCGAAGACGAGCCAACGCACGTTAGTTTTTAAGAATATGGTAACTATTAGATGTCATTTAGGATAGCCAGGATAATGCTTCGGGAGCTGAGCCGGGCGTCTCGCCCGGATTGGCCGGAAATTTGGCCGTTCCGACGACGCTGCAGGTACGAGCTGGCTCATTTTCATAAAACAAAATTTTAGAACGAATTAAATCCAATTTCTGCAGAATTTTTACAAAATTAGTAGCCTAGTGCTTATAGATTCAATAAATTAAATTATGTGATAATCAGACAGAAAAATAGGCAAATTTTTACCCTTGTTCAGCTCTCTACCTCACAGTTCGGACAATCCGGCCCCGATCCGCTAGCCCCGAAGTTCAACAGCCGAGGCGCTGGGGTAATTCTTTAAATTTAAATTCTGAGAAATATACCTTTTCTGTTATTTTCTACAACTTTATATGTCTTTCAGAAATACATGGTTTTCGCATTCCAGCAGGTATACCGAAAATAATCTCTTTATTTCCTCGGTTCCCCTGATTTCTGATTCAGTTTTGTTGAACGCATCGAGATGGTGGCGATTTGGATCTCATATAATTTTGGTGTTGGGCTATTTCAGTTCAATTTAGTTTAAACGTGCACTGCTTAAAAAAAGGTAGAGTTTTTAGGTTAACCCGGTGCAGCAGGCTCCGATTGTCGGGATTCCGTTGAGCACCATTCAACACTACTACAACCCGCATGTTGGGCGATCGGTTAGCGAGCCGGTACGTCGAAGTTGGGAGTGGATTTGCCTTGCGAGTCTCTTTAAACAGACTATGCAAACTTTTTACCGTTACATTACGTAAATATGCCCTTAGGCCACCCCAGAGCCGATCCCCACCTTTGACGCAACCGCCTACTACCCTCTAGTCTGGAAGTTCCCCTTCTCGAACATTCAACTCCCCGCCTACACTACCACTGGTAACTTTTCAGTCAATTTTGATTTGTGACTTTTTCACCTTTATCCTAATTGTTATATTTTATGCCATTAAAAATTGCTTAGGCCACTACGCGTACACCGCGAACCTGGTGAAATACTACGGGACGCTGCCTTCGCAGACGTCCGAGAAAGTCCAGGAGGCCAACGACGCCAGCCGGCGTGCATAGGTGGCGAACGGAAACTTGTTGATTGGATCTCATTTCGTGTGTACACATGATAATAATAAATGTATTTACCAGCTGCGTGCGCGAACATCAAGAAATTGTCGCGAAAATTAGAACATACAGGCTATTAAGCGTAGGCTTAGGCTTACTGTAAAGTGTTTTTACTCAAGTTGGAGTTTCGATTCGGGACCAAGTGCATCTTGTGCAGAATTTTTCGTAGATTCCGAATCCGCTTTCCAAATTTGCTGCGGACTTTTATTTTGAAAGTTATACAGCAGTTATCGTAGTGTTTTTCACCAAAATCAAGGAACCGTTATCGTTTTCGATTTTCCTGATCAATTTCAACTTCAAAATTGGCTAAAGATTGGCTAGACAAGCATCTAAAAAGTCAAAACAAGCTTTTCGTCAAAAATTAAATTTTTTTATGCAAAAAGCAAAAGAAAGATGCAGGGCGGGGATCCGAACCGCCGCCCTGCGCTTGGCAAGCGAGTACTTTGCCAATGCACCATGGTGCCAACCGGGAGGGGAGCTGTGACAGAGTACTTCAGGGCCCCTGGGAGAGGCAGAGCCATGGAGGGAATAGTGGACCAGGATCCGAATTTTTGGCTTTTTCAAGCTTAATTTGCACCAAAAATGACTTTTTAAATAAAAGTCCGCAGCAAATTTGGAAAACGGATTCGGTATCAGCAAAAAATTCTGCACAAAATGCACTTGGTCCCGAATCGAAACTCCAACTTGAGTAAAAACACTTTACAGTTAGTAGGCTTAAGCGTATACTTCAAACTCTTGTGCATAAGTTCCATCAAATTCCTATCAACACCTTATCCCCCCAAATCAATCGACCCCAGGCTACATTTGTGGGACGTGGCTCCAGGCAGGATAATCTCGGCCACACGATCCTGCCCGCCCCGGTCTCTACAGGTATTGCGCCGCGCAGCTGCAACTGGTTATACGAGCCGGGTGTCCATCTCGAAAAGGAGAAGCTTCTCCACGCCGGCGACAGAGGCAAAAAGCCGAAGAAATGGATCTGGGGGATGATTGACGACGGGAGGGGCGTTCGACTGTGTCGACTCGGTGTATTGGTGTCTGTCTGTCTGTCCGTGGTGTGCTAATTGGAAAGCGCCGCTCCAAACAGCCCGGTGGTGGCGCGGCCATCCTTGCATTTAGCATACAAGCCATAGTGGCAGGGAATGGCCACTTTGCCGTTCGGTTTTAGGGTCTGGGTTTGGGGTCCGGGCACCGTAATCCTTTGAAGATCAGCTTTCATTATTAGGTGCCAACCATATGCCCTCGAGACGTTTTTTGGCTACCGTAATCCAGCCTCAAATCTTCGCTATTTTCAATTTAAGCTTCGAATTACTTTATTCGAATGCGCATTTCTTAGCTTAGCTTAGGTTTGGGATTTGGCATGAGTTAAGGTTTAGGTAGTAGGCCTTTAGGCTAAGCTTAGGTCTGGCGTAGGCCTCGGAGGCTTAGGTTTGGGCTTAGCTTCAAGTCAGTGTGGCAAAGGCTATCCAGAAAAACGAACTATCAGGTCCATTTTCAGACTTTTTCATTAATATTTAATGCCCTTCCTGACCACCGCCACCCAATCAAAACCGCAACGTCGAGCTTTTTGATTGGATCAAGGGGTTCAGCGCGGTAAATCTGGCTGCTTGAGGAGAACACGGAGAAGCGGTTTTTTTGGATTTTTCTGAACCTTATGAAATTATTACACCATTAGATCGATTCAAATCCTAGTAATTTTTTGCAACCATTTAGAAAAAAACTACGGTTCTAAGGCCTCAAGTTTGTAGCTGCCCCTTTAAATCGCGCTTTTTAACCGGATTTTCTGGAAGTATGAACGTTTTCGAAAAAGACGTAAACACAACAAATTTAGAATGCTACGCCCATTAATAATAATATTCTGTGCGGTGAATTTGCGGAATTCCCAAATTATTGACGATGCCGCCGTCGAGGGGTCTGGTTTTGGGGATGGTAAGCCCTTGGAAAAATCCAATATAAATATTTTTAGATCCCTGCCCTCCAAAGTTGGATGTTGCCTTCGTGCTCGATACGTCTGGAAGCATTGAGGAGGTTTATCGAGTACGTTAATGGTCAAAAAGTATAAATTTATTGACTTTTAGGAGCATATAAAATGGACGATCCAGCTAGCGGATAGTCTCCCGATCAACAGCGATGCCGTGAGATTGGCGGGGATTCAGTAAGAAAAATGCTATACCGATTTGTTTAAGTAAATCTCCAGATACGCCGGGTTTCCGCTTGTTGAATTTTCGTTGAACGAGGTCAACTCGTCGGCTGATGCGATTGTGAAATTGAAGAATATCACATTCCAGAGCGGGGTCACCAGAACGGGGCAAGCGAAATTTCCAAGAGCCAGAATTCGTAAGTTTTCAGATACGCTCTACGAAAAACCGAAAGTGAGCTGACGAGACCGGAGAAAGGAGCCAGGTAGAACGGCAAAAATTGATTATCGAGAAAAATAACATTTTTAGAGGAGACGCCAAAAAGTGCATCGTTCTGTTTACCGATGGGTTGTCAATTGACGATCCGCTGAAAGCTAGTGAGCATTTGAGATTGGATCGGGTACGTAAGCTTCAATACATCTCACTATCTCTATCTTACTCTCTCTTGCGCTCTTTCTATGTCTCTCTGACTCTCTCTCTCTCGCTTTCTCTCTCTCTTTCTCTCTATCGCCTTTTCAAGGGCATAAAAATCTACGTCGTCTCCGTTGGAAGCGACGGTTTCGAACCGGAAATGGAGCGAATCGCTGGGGATCACGGGAATACTTTTGGGTAGGATAGCACATTATATCCTTCATTATAGTTTTCTAGACCCCAAGCCCTCGCTAAGCTTCAAGAGCGCCTGTTAAAAGATGTGGAAGCCGCGCGGGTTTGCGCGAATGGGCAAAGTCCCCCGCCACTGGAAGATCCACTAGTAGGTTTTCATGCAAATTTTGGACAAGGTCCATAGATTTCTGTATGTTTGTGTTTTTCAGGTAGTCCGCTCGCTTGCTAAGGGCATTATCAAGCAGCCAAACGAGCTGAAAAGGCGGAATTCAGAAAAACAGGTGCTTGTTCGCTTCATTTGTGTATTTTTGTTTTAGACAAAACCAAACAAACCAAGCAAAAATTCAAGCTTCTCGGCCCCCGGAAGAGCCATCGCCACGATTGTCGTAAGTTTTATGCCACTTTTTAATAACATTCGATACCTAGAGCGGCCAAGAATCCGCCACGCAAATCGTCGGAACACAGCAAATCCGGCTGCAGGACAAGAAAGCAAGCCCGAAGAAGGTGGAGGCTTCAAAGTTCAAGAAGAATACAGTGCCTCCCACTAGCAAAACCACTAAAAAGGCTACAACCACGGTGACTACTACCACAAAGAAACCTACGACGAGAAAAGAAGTACCAAAAACGACGCTAAAAGCCACTGTTACCACAAAAGGGACAACCACGACTTCAAAACCGAAAACTACTGTCAAAACTACCGCAAAAACTACAAAGAAGCCGAGGAAGAATTCGGCAAGTACAGTAACACCAACAACGAGTACGACTACGGTACCTACGGTGAGAAGGTAGATTTTTAGGCTTGAGTCAACCAATTTGGGTTATTTCAGAATCCGTAAGATCCGAAAGGTCATCAGAAGGCGCAAAGTTTTGCCGACTACAACAACAGAGGCCAGGCCAACGACCACTACGGTATTTACCCCAATTACAGTAGGTTTTTAAGTCATTATGACGAACGGCGATCTAGACACCACACCGACGACGCAGGATCGTGAAGATCATTAGGAAGCGGCGACCAGCTTCTACTCAGTCGGGTCGTAGCTCAACGACTACTACTTCTACGACTTCTCTCACCACATCTACTCCATCATCTACCTCAAAATTTCCGGCCCGGAAAAACCCGCTTAAATCTATCAAGAAGGAATGGACAACCACAACGACTACAGAACCAACAACGAGCCAGACGACGAGGAGGTAGGGCATTTTTTTGAAGGCTAGCTGAAAATTCAGGTCTTTCTCGCGATTCTCTCCCGAAAATTTGGAAAATAACGAATTGGGAAGTGATGAGGTTACGGGGTTACGACCGTTGGATTCTGAAGGTATTGGACTAGCTTAGAGCTTTTAAATTCTGAAGCTCAGGGAAGAGAGTGACGACTACGAGACGGATCTTTACGAGGTTTACTTCTCGATCAAGTCCTTCTACTACGATAGCGACGACTAAAAGACCGACAACAACGGCGAGGACGGCAACTACAAAGGTATTAGCGAGACGGAGAGAGAGAGAGAGAGAGAGAGGGAGAGAGAGAGAAACTGAACTGAGAAACAGCAGCTCCATCCCAATTTTTCAGCCTCCAACTACCACCCGAACAAAGCACAGCCGTGCTCTCGCCGCCCGAAACTTTTTGGCGTCCGATGGCGGAGAATGCCCTCTCGATATTCTGTTCATAGTCGATAGCTCTGGTTCGGTAGTAACGGTCTATGACAAGCAAAAGGTAGCTGATTCGTTTCTCTTCCCAAAATCTCGTCCAGGCGTTCCTGCTCGAGCTCCTCTCCAACATCGACGTCTCCCAGCAGGCTCATCGCGTCGCGTTGCTCCAATTCGCCGGCGTGAAGCTGCAAAAGACTGAGTGGACCTTTGACAAGTTTACGGAGAGCACGCAGCTTGTCAGCGCGTTTGGGCATGTACGTCATATTACTGGTGGGTTGACGCGTTACGTTGTGGCTAGGCAGGATTGCTCCGGGATGCCTATCGAATAGAATCGAAGCTTAGGTTTTCCAGAGTTTTTTAGTTATTTAGTACGAAATTTTAGGCACTACCTACATTGGAGCAGCCCTCGAATCGGCCAAAATCCTGTTAGAATCCAGAAGACGTGAGGCCCAAACGATCGTCGTCTTGTTGAGTGACGGGTAAGCTATAACCATAGCACTCTTGAAACTTCTGCTTCAGTTTCTCGCAAGATGACCCCCTGGACACCGCCGGTCACATAGCCCGACTCCCGAACACTGACTTCTACGTTGCCAGCGTGGCCGAGAACAACAACAAGTGCTTTTTTGGTTTTAATTATTTACTGGGATTTTGCAGTGAAATGCTACAACGAATTACGGACGACGCGGAGAAGGTGTACGTCGGGAAGGCCGTCGACGAGTTGAAGCAGAAATTGATCCGACGTTTTAAGTGCCGAGTCTAGAAGATTTGATGGAACTGCTGGAAAACTGCTGCTAATCATTTTTGCATTCTATTAATAAATATCAACTTTATAAAAGTCCGTGAATTTTACGAAATGGATAAAATTTTTTTACATTTGCACTCGTTAGAATTCTCATTTTAATTGTAAAAACCTATATTGTCTTGAATTAGCTTAGGATTAGGCGTTGACTTGGCTTGTCTTGGCTTAGGCTTGGCTTAGGCTTAGGCTTAGGTGCGGCTAGGCTTTGGCTTTGGCTTGCTGTCTCACATCATTTAAAACGTCAAAAACCATGGTGACACCGTTCAGCCGTTTACCATTTTTACGAAAAAACGTTCGTACTCCGTCCTGTAAGCAACATCTTTCCAAAATCCACCTGTCAACCCGAATCCCGTCAACCCGGCTGAGGAGGCGCACCTCAAATACGTCAGATCTGTGCACAAGATACGCCGACTGAGAACTTAGCAATTTTGTACGATGATGAGGCCCGTAGACACCTATTCATCACGTTTTTCGATCAAAAAATTGCCCAAAATTGCAGACTATAAAGCGAGCCTACGTGCGCAGGGGACAAGATTCGGAGCCCGTTTTTCATGAGGTTAGTTGAGGAGTTTCGTACTTTGTTAATGGACTTTGAAAATAGCGTATTAATCAGGAAAATTGCAGCTTCATCGTTCGCCAGATTAGCGACCGCTTTGCCCGGAAGGAGCGCGTGCAGCGGCAAAACAATTTTGACGAAAATGATGTGAACTACGAGAGGGTACACTTATACGGTAGATTTTGATGTTTGGTGCGGTAGTATGCCTCGGTTTTGTATCGTACTATGCTGTATGCTCTAGTTTACACCTTAAAAAACTCAATTTTCAGCTTCGAAAGCGCGAAATCCACTGGCCGACCTCGAAATCTACCGTGCAAAAGATGGCACTTCCGAAAATTTGCTCGTTTTGGCTTCCCGGCGACGATCTGCCAAAACCTTTAAACGATTTGTCGTTGCTAAGCACTTTTTCGTACGTTTAATAATAAAATATAACGGCTTAAAGGGAGGGAGAAAGCAAAAAAAAAAGATAAATTTTTCGTGCGTCCCGACTTTTCCGAAGCTCTATTTTAGGTCCCGGACCTCGTCGTCCTCCACTCTCGGCTTCTACAATACGTTGGAGTCCTCAGATTTGTTCCCCGAAGAACAGGTAAGTCTTCTGGTCCTTGGAAAGTATAAAAAAAACACTTTTAGCAAGTTCTTGGCTTGAGAAATGTCTGGAATTGATAGATGCTCACCCAAATTGGCGTGCCTACCACTTGGCCGCCCAGCTTGGTGTTGTGGGATATTTTCGAAAACGCAATGGACGGTAATTTCGTAAAAGAATTAATCTATAAACAGACAGATTCTATAACATGCCCGCCATTACTGATGGGTTGACGCCGGTGATGATGGCTGTTAGGGAAGGTAAGTTATCGACGTACCAAAACCATTTGCGCTATGGAACTATGTAAATGGAAGCTCACATTCATTCCAAGCCTCTTTAGTTAAGCTAGGTTACCATATCAAGTAGTTTAGACCACTTCGAGCTCGTTTTCCGGCTCATCGAATTCAGCGTCGAGCTTCGAGCACTAGACAACGAGGGGAAGTGTGTGCTCGATTATGCCAAGGAATCGGATACCCATATGCTGGAGGTGGACCATAAAATTTAATTGATTAACCTGATCATGATCCTTTCAACGATTTCCAAATCGACAAGCAGAGATTGTGGAGGGAACTCGCTAGATTTTCAGCTCCTCGCCGAGAGCCTCCCGGAAGAATTCACCTTACTCTGGTGCGCCGAGAATAAATCAGGAAAAGCTGATTATTTGACAAATTTTTTGGCTCAGTAGGTTCATCTCGATTTTAAAGCGTATATCCACCTTCGTAGAATTTCCCCAAGCTCCTCAGCGGCACGACGGAGTCCTCTTTACGAAGCGCTGACTAGATCTCCGACCAGTCCATTGTACTAAATTTAACGAATTTAATCGAATTTTCCAATTCAGAAAAATGGGTGAAATGCTGTCCGCGTTCAACTTTGATCTACACAATTTTGACTTGCCAAGTGAAGGTACTTGGCTGCATGCAGCGCAGAATAAGCGGTCTCTGCTGAGCTTGTTGGAGATGAAGCGGTTGAAGGTGAGTACAGAAAATCTACTCGACTAAATCTGCTCTACTCAAGACTAAAAAACGATAGCTACGCGTAGCACCTGATGACTTTTTTCCATCACTCTGGAATATTCCGTAGCTGTCGATTCGATTTTTTTTTAGCTTTTGTACCTAAACTTTTTTTCTAGGAGTCTGAGCTCGACACAAATGCTAGGGACAAACTGGGCAGGACCGCCCTTATGGAACATGTTAGAAAACGAAGACATGGTTTTGTATTAGGTAGGTATCCTAATTTTTAGTTTTGTAATTTCACAATCAACGTTATATTTCGATCGCCTTTATTTTTAGCTTTCTACATTTGGTTTCTGAATTTTTTCGCGGTCCTAATCCTTCGAAAGTCACATTTTTTTAGCTCTCTACGGCTACTGGACCGACGTTAACGTTCGAGATATTGAAGGGAATTCCGCATTACATTATGCGGTCGTGGTAGGTATGGCATGCAGCTTAAACTTCTTACTTTTTATAGTGAATAAATCACCTTCTTTTAAGAATGAAGATCTCGACATGATCAAAGCCCTCATCTGCTGTGGTGCCTCTGTGAATGCAAGAAATCGCTACGGCGAATCGCCACGTCATCTGGCGGCTAGAACGAAAAGGTATTCATATAATTCCGAATATAACACATAAAATATAGGCTTTATAGAATTTATAAATCTATGCAAATTTTTAAGCCACACCGATATCGCCGCCCTGTTGGCGATGAAGTGGGCGGCGTCGTGCCCAGAAAATTCGAAGAATTGCTTTGAAGTCTGCATGCACCCGAAAAATCCGCTTACTCGGTTCTTCGGCAGCGGAATAAAACAAGGTTTTTGCACCTCGTCTTAACGTTATAAAGCTTATTAAGAAATCGACAACAAGAGGAATGCCGACGATCTGGAGGACCCATTTTCGCAGCGTCTCACACGCCATTTAGAGAATGGGCGGATGGAGAATGATTTGACAGCGCATTTGGTTGGTTTTTCAACGAAACAATGCAAGTGAATACTATGTCGTAGTGCTTTGAAAGGTATCGTTAATGCACAGGTGCTTATTTCAGAATGCCCTAAAAGAATTGACACGAAAAATGGAACGGAACCGTGATGGCCGAAAGGTTATAAACGCACTGTCGTTGGATGGCGGCGGAATTCGTGGGCTAATAATTACACAGGTAAGCTTTTGCTCTAAGGTATGGTTCAATACCTTTTTAGGTACTAATGTCCCTGGAAGAATTCCTGCCTCGCCCTCTTTCCGATTATTTCGAGTGGATAGGAGCGACGAGTACTGGGGCCTGTCTCGGGGCTAGTTTGACGATTGGTGAGTTCATTTTTAGTTTTATAGGTATTGGAAAGTCCATCTACAATCCGATTTTCAGGCCTATCCATCCGTGAGGGCCAACGAATATACCTACGATTTAAGGACGATATATTTGAAGCCAGGGTTCGACCGTACGAGTAAGAATATAACTTCACAATTAAAATTTTTTAAACTTTTTTAGCGCTTTAATCCTCGAGAAATTCTACCGCAGTGTTTTTGGGGACGAGACGCGGATGAAGGACACGCTGGGGAATAACCAGTACGCTTCTGTACGCAAGTGGTTACAACGTTTTTTCAGTTTCTTTTGTACTACAAACGACGCTACCGTATATCCGGCGTCGCTGATGTTACTCCGGAATTATAGCTGTCGTGGTGATGCACTGGAATATGGGGCTGACGGGGAGAGCGGTGAGCTTTTTTTTGAAGATTTGGGCCCTCTTAAATTCCCGAATGATCGTTGCTAGCTTGCCACCCTTCGAAAATCTATTTTTTTTTGCTCTCATTTTACTCTTAGACCTCGAGATCTGGCGTGCCGTGCGCCGCTCCTCCGCCGCGCCCACCTACTTCGCGGCGTCTGAGCAGAGATATGTAGATGGCGGCCTTTCCAGCAATAATCCTACCATGGAACTGTTAGCTGAGATCCAGAACTGGAATGCGCATTGTCAGGAAGAGGTACCTGTGCCTTACCCCTAAAAACCATCAATGACGACGATTTAGGACAAATACGAGCTCGGCTGTGTGTTGTCCATAGGAGCCGGGCGTACGCTGGGCCAGCCGGTGGACCCTGGGCAGATCGAGATGGCGTCGATGTTCGGGATGGTGAAGGGCATTCGCAATTTGTTCAACATGGTGATGGCACAGGTGGGCGGGGCGTTTAAAGGGATTGGGAAGTGCGGGAATCCCCCGCTTTTTTGGCCCGAGGGTCGCCCCCCCCCACACCCCATGAAATAGTCTCCATATTTCGATAAACTATTCTAGCTTAGGCTTTAATATTCCTCGAGTATTCTCACGTTTCCTAACCTCCTTACAGGACCCTGGAAACTACAATTCCGTCTAATACCTTTTACATCTATTCTCTTCAAGGTAACGGCAACGGATGGAGCTGTAGTGACTCGATCTCGAGCTTGGACACATTCACTCGGTGCTGCATATTACAGGCTATGCCCGATGATGTCAAAGTGATACCTTAATGCTATACCTACCAAAGATTTTCTAGAGAATATCAGCTGGATGCCAAAGACGACTCTGATGTGATTGCCATGATGTGGGAATGCGTTGTCTATGCTTTTTCACATAGGTAATTGAACGATATTGACGGCTTTCCGGCCTCCAAATCGCTGTAATACCGCTAACAAAAAAACTTTATACTTTTAGAGCTCAATTCGAAGAAATTGCCGCCACTTTGATCAAAGTTGGTCCCGCCCACGCGAAGACTGATAGACGAAGGCGCAGCTCGTGGTCCGGAAACCCGAATAATAGGAAGCATTGGCGGCAAAAGAGACCGAAAGCTGAGAATCTACTCGAAAAGAGCGTCTACAAGAGCATGGAGGATCTGGATGTTACGCCAAAGCCTAGTGTTGTCTTGGCGAATCCTCCTTTTAAGAAATAAAGGATTGAATGCTTACGAGTTTGTATAACATTTTGTAAAGTTTTTTGGGATGATTTTTACATTTTTAAATAATGCTTGTGGTGAGTCTTACCCGGAAACCAAGCATTTTCCGACGTTCTCTTTGTGTTTTCCTTTCTCAAATATTGCTGGCAGAGCCAGATACGATTTTTTTCAGGTATAGTTTCATAAGAATCCTACTATCCTACTATATATAAAAAAATAGTGTTTGTGTGTGTGTGTGTGTGTGATACTTTGCATGCAACTTCCGTCACCATGTCCGGAGGATATCTCGATAGGGAATAACTTTTAAGGTATATTTGATAGGTCATTAGGTGCGTAATGGCTCTGGGATGACTGCACGCTTATCAGATTTTACAAAACTAATTGTTTTAAATATTAAATTTCAGTTTATGTAAAAATTTCGGCCACCCTCTTTGTTAGGAAACAATTAGCATGCACCGGAAAGTGGCGGTAGCCTATATAATCAGGTAGAGAGTGCCATTTTTCATTTTTTCTTATCGCAATTCGAAAGAAATATGCAAAGCGAAGAATTTTATGGAGTTAGACGGGGTTAGACGGGGCCGCTTCGCGACTTTTCAACCCTGGTTGTTATTAAAACATTATAAAAACTGCTAATTAATTTCTGTTTTTTTGTCTCATATTTAAATAAAGTTTTTCATACCCTTGCCACAAAACTACACTTGCCCTGACCCTTTCTTTGCCACGTCCTCGCGGTGGGGGGGGCCTTTTCTCGTGGCACGAGGTGCTGGGGATAATAGCGGATGTATTCAACTTGTCTGCTCATACCCACACAGCCATCATATGAGGAGTGCTCGAAAATGGGGGTGGGCCCGGCCGGGTGAACCCGGATTTTTTTCGGGGGCGCCCCGGCGATTTAGCCCAACCAAACACAATCGACCGACCGGCAGCAACAATTCGGCTAGCAGCTTTGCAACATGTTGAACACGCCTGAGGTATCATTGCCTAGAAATTGCGTTGAAAATTTGTATAAAATTATGTAGGAGGGTTCATTACATATTATCAACCACCGTATATTTATCTAAATCTTTAAAAAACGCAAAGTAGCAAAAAAATGTTTTTTTTTGTTCACCTTAAAACTATTTTAAACTTATTCAATGTTTGCCAGAAAAGCGTGAAAACATATTTTAGTGGTTTTCCAAACTTAGAAGGGTAAGAAAAAGATTTAAGAATTTTTACCACTAGAATATGAAAAACCAGTTTGGAAATTAAGGTGAAAACGGCTTTTAGACTTTTAGACAACCAAAAAATCGATAAAAACCCTGTCGGGATCCTAACCTGTTACCTTACTTACCGCGTAATGACTTGCTTCTCAGCCCTCCAAGCCCGAAACCTCCACGCTTACCGATTTTTGCATCGAGTTCCAGAAGCCGGAGCCGTGCTATGTGTGGGGTGATTCCGTAAGCCGCCTAATTACGCCATACCGTAGCGGTGCCATTTAGATAAAAGGCAAAGTGATCATGAAAACGCAGCCCCAAACCCAACTCGACGTCATCTCCGTCAAACTACTGATTTGCGGCTTCAACAAGCATAAAGCGCGTCAAAAAGTATGAGCCTTAGCGACTTTGCGATACGTTTTTAGGGTCCTCACACTGAAAATGCATTTATGAAAAAGGAACGTTATATCTTGAATGGCCCGGTGACGTACTACGATGGAAAGAAGGAAATACCGTTTCAGGTTGATTTTCGGAAAATATTTGCCTTCGACGTGCCTTTATAAACTGGAAAACCTAGGAAACACTACCCCCAGATTTGGCCACGTCGGTGGAGACAAAGATCGGGGCGATTGCGTACTACTTGAAAGCTACATTGTTATACAAAAGTAAAGGTATCCTTTTGTAGATTGTTATTTATTACTGATGCTCCTTTCCAAGATCATTTTTCGATGTTTCGAAACCATTTTCAGACGGCTACGACACCAACGTGCACGCCGTGCGTGGCTTTACAGTAATCGAGGATTGTGACCTGAATTTAATGCCAAAAATTTGGTTCGAGGTATCAAGATTACTTCCCTGTAGCTTAAAGTATATTTTTGCTTCATCTAGGAGCGTAGCCAGGTGGTCCACCGGAAATTCGGGCTGTTCTCCTGCACCGGTGGGCTTGTGCGGTTGGCCATCGCGTTGAAGCAGAGTGCTTTTTGCTCCGGGGAATATGTGAATATCACTGGTAGGTTATGCAATGAAATCTGATGCCGAAGCCCGAACACGAACCCAAGCCCAACAAGGAGCGCTTTTTTGAGTCATCGGCAAAACCTGACGAGACCTAGCTCATTCGATAGAGAATTCAATTCTGAGCAAGACTCCGTTGTCCTTTTTGCTGAATGGCTATCCCTGATTGTATAAAATTAAAATACTAGTGGCCGTCTCTTACCATGAGTGCCTTTCGAGCAAATAGAGAAGCTTTTGGGTGCAGTTTTGAAATTTTATAAAATCAAGGATAGCCATTCCGCAAAAAAGGACAACCGGGTCATGCTCAGAATCGAATTCTCTATCGAATGGGCTAGGTCTCGTAAGGTTTTGTCGATGACTCAAAAAAGCCCTCCTTGTAAGCCTAGGCCTGAGCCAACCCAACTTCAGGACGAATCGAAAACAAATCCGATAAACGCGTCGAGAAAGTCTCGGCCATCATCCAGCAACGGGCTCAAGTAAGAGACGGAGACGCGGATAAAGTAGGAAAACCGTGCAACCGTATCTGGAGCACCTTTTAGGGCTCAGCAGACACCGACGTTGCAGAGGTATTCGAGGAGAGCCTAGCCCTGTTTGTCGACCCGGGCGTAGTTCTGAAGATTGAAAAAAACATGCCGATCCCGGTGTTGCCGCCAAGGTACAAAAAGGCGCCTTTTTAAAACAATAACAACAATCATAAAATTCAGTACTCCACCCGATGATAATTTGCTGAATCGAGCCACAAAGCGACGTATATCAATCGGTTTGTTCGAATTCTGTTTTCGAGTTGTTTTGTAAAAATTTAGGACCCCTTCGCTCCAGAACCTCGCAACTTTCATTAAATTTATCGCAACTCCACCCAACGAGACCTCTCACGATTTCCTACACGATTGCTTTTCGTGTGAAATGTGTAGGTGAGCGGGATTCCCAAGTTCAAAGAACTCGGAATGCAATTCGACACTGATTACGCTATGGAAAAGCTGATGGACGAGGTCAACGAGCCCTTTTTTGCATCTAATTAAACTACAAACTACAAAAATACAGTCTTATACGATTTATAATTACCAAAAATTCCAGGCGTCGACAACCTCGAAATTTGCTGGCCCATCGTTATCGGCTCGATTCCGCTGGCGGAAACCACCGAGAACAACGACCCACACCACACAACGCCCTTTTTCAAGCAGTGCAAGGTTTTTTTGATTAAGGATACTGTATTAAATGCTGTAAATAACGTTACAATTCAAGGTGATCAAACATTAAAATTTCAGCATGATCGACCCTCTGAGGTTCTCAACGTCGCTTCGATTAATAATATCGGGAAGACAAGGGTAAGAATAAAAAAAGTAGCGCTTTAACCAAAATTTTATACCTTCTATAAGGTAGTATAATCAAAATACGTTCATGCTTTTTCTAGATAAGTTACATCAACAAGTACCCCTTTTTCTCCGACCTAAAAACCTCATCGAAACAGGGAAGAAGATCTCACTTTGGGCGAATACGGTCAGGTAATAACCATTTTGAGCGCTTTTTCACAATTAAATGGCCGTTGTAATAAAATTATCAATAAAATTTTTTTAGAATGGAAACGAAATGGTTGAGCGCTGCGCGCGAGCAGCAGCGACGTGACAATACGGAGAAAAAACGGGTACTGTTATACGACGTCGGTTTTCCGTGCTTTTTCCTCGTTTTTAGCGGGGTTTTTCAATTGTGCAATTCAGGTAAATTTTTCCGACGTCCCAGAGTTCGACGGCAAGAAGGGCCACGAGGAAAAGGTAAGCAAATTGGCACAGTTTCCCCAAAAAACCTCCGCCAGCTTGCCTTCAACGAAATCACGCTCATTTAGGCGGGCGGATCTGTGGACGATTTGTCGGGTGTGATGCCAAATATGCCGTACGGAGCCGGATAAATTGTAATAATGCGTGAATGCTCTTTATAAAGCTAATATTGTGCATCAAACGTGTACCCGTCACGATCGCGGCTGATATATGGGTCCCGGTACGCTTGGTTACGGTCGAGGGAGGCTGAAAAAAGCATGAAAAATTATAACAAAGCATTACGGTTGTTTTATAAAGTTTAAAACAGTAAATTATGCTAATTTGGGCACGTAATTGACCAAATATACTCTGGCAAAACTCACTCATCGTCACGCGGGGCAATCCTTTACGATAGATCGTATCTGAGTCATAACCGTACGCGGGTGTAGCATGTACTTCTTTCATCTAAGATGTTTAATAGTGCTTTTAAATTTCAGTGTAAGTTTATTTTTTAGTCAAATTTAATGCTATTACCTGCGGGTCGTCGAACAGCGCGTTGTCATAGGCTGCCGTAATTGGGCCGCTCGGGCCGGCGGTAAACCCCACTGAAAATTAAGTTAAGGGTTTTTTCATACTATTTAAAACATATTAAGAAAGTTCGCAACGTCGTATCGCTTACCAATTTCCGAAGCGCTTTGCGTAACCGTACGATAGTCCTTATAATCCCACAAATCAATCACAAACGTTGCAATTTCCAACAGCATCAACAGCGCCAAAATCCACTCGGAGAGCGTCGTGGCAATGTGATTGTTGTAGAACTGGAATTTTACGCTTAGCGTTACTTAGCGTATAGGGTGTCCCAACAAAAAGATCACGCTGGCATTTCGCCATTTCCAATCTCATCGATCTGAAATTTGGGAAAGGGCTGCGGAAGGAATTTAAAATGTTCACAGAGACTTTCAGCCCGATCGGCGCAGTAGTTTTCGAGTTATAGCAAAAATACTTTTTTTCAACACGTTTGCTTCATTTTTTCGGCTATCATTTTGGACTTTGCATCAATTAACATCAATTTCGGCTCTAAATCCCTCATTCTTCTTAACATCGGCGTCATGTAACCCTTGTTAAAATTACTTAAACAACCTATTTCCAAGCCGAATTTTACGAAATACAAAATTTTCTGGGGTAAAAAGGGTCGGCGCTTCATTTTTGCCATACATGGCGAGGCTCAGTTCCGGCGAAATCCAGGTTAAAAACGTAAAATAAAGTTTATTTTTTGTTATAACTCGAAAACTACTGTACCGATCCGCTGAAAGTTTCTGTGAACATTTTAAATTCCCTTCCGCAGCTCTGTTCAAAATTTCAAATTGAAATGGCAAAATGCCAGCGTGACCATTTTTTTGGGACACCCTGTATATTTATGGATCTGCTCATGACCTACCGGGCTGTCCACATCATACCGCTCGATCCCGTTCTCAAAATCGGGTTTGGTAGGCGTTAGGCCGCCCGGACTTTGGACGAATGGCTCGGCAAAAAGACATATCATATCTGAAAATCATGATTTGTTATATCACGATTTACTGCTTATAAAACACTTACGAAATATCAAGATAGCCAATATCACGATGTTCAAGATAATTCTAATGAAGGTGTAGGACTGATGAACGATCTGATTCCGCAGCGCCAAACAGATGGCGTAATAGCCAAAGCAATAGAAGACGAATCCAAAGAAAAAAGTGAAGGCGCCAGCGTCATGGGCGGCGAGTACGTTACCCTCCTAAAAACAATGCTTAGGCGCAGAAACAGGCTTGGGCTTAGCTTGGGCTTAGGTTAGGCTTAGGCTTAGGCTTAGGCCTAGGCTTAGGCTTAGGCCTAGGCTTAGGCTAACCCTAAGCCGAGGTATTGGCTAGGCTTGGCCGAACCTACCTGAAAATTCCCAACCACCAAAATCCCGAGCGCCGACAGCCAGCCGAGCAGCAGGATAAAATACGCAAATATCACAAGTCGAGAGTTTTGCTGAAAATAATTTTCTTTAATTTTTATAGGGTTTTTTCTTACGCTTCCGCAACGCCGTAAAATTTGACGGTGCAAGTAGTAGACAGTTAATGCCCCTAAAGTTAAGTTTTTGAATAAACAAAAGTTTAGGCTTACAGGCAAAAGCCCCAATAGCCATGAAAGTTCCAAAAATACAGCTCTCCGGGGGTAGATTGCCGCAATCACTGAAGTTTGTAAAATTTTATACCAATTGCATACCTAATATAGGGCAACCACGCATCCACATGATCATTCCCAACGGCTATGCCATAACTGAAAAATATGGATTTTGAGCTTCTTTTGCATTATCGGGGGGCGGACTTTTTCTGTACCTAATCACTCACTATTTTCCTTTGAAAAAATTTTTTAGTATAAATATGCTTTATAAAGCTACAAAACTCGAAAATTTCGGACTTTTGGAAAAACAGCACTTCAAAAACAGCTAAATTTTAATAAGAACACAATGAAAATACTGACTATTACAGCAAAAGGAATCCGCCCCGCCCCCGATAATGCGAAAGAACTGTAGTTTCGTTTTTCAAGGTTCACTGCCAACTTACCATACAAAAAACGATATTAACAACGAGACAACACAAATTAACGGTGCGTAGATGGCGTGGCACATTGCTAAAAAGTTACTTTTCGCAAAAGGGGTTATTTCGGGCCCGGATACAAGCAGTCAAAGTTAGAATGGCTAGGACTAGCTAACCTGCCTTTCAAAAATCTCGGAGAAACAGCGCTTTGGCGGCGTATCAAAGCCAAGAGGCTAGCGCTAGGCAATTCGCTGGGCGACCCGGAATCTCGGAATTCTGGAGGCGTGATAAGAATTGGCTTTGACCATTTTGAGGGGATAGGCATTCGGCCAATGGGTTGGCACTACCACCAGCTCGTAAAAAACATAACTTTTGATGGATTGTTTAAATTAAAAGTTTTGCAGATTCGCTTGCAGCCTACCACATTTTTATTAATAGAAATCGTGACGTTGGAATGACGAGGAAAGGCTTATTTCATGCATCTTTTTCTTTAAAGCTGCGTCAAAGTCTGTCAAATTCGGAAATAACAAGCGGAAACAACAGCGAAAATGCCGATTCCTGAGCATTTCCGGGCAGTGAGGCCCGAATCTTCTCCTTACAATCTATTTTACCAAAAAATAAATACAGAAGGCGTCCCTAAACAGTTTTTTTTGCTATTTATAAGCGCAAAAATGCCAAAATTTACGAAAAATATCCTTTTCGGCCAAAATTTCCAACATTTTAAAGGTTTTAACAGTTTCTAAGCAGTTTCCCCCTTTATTTATAGCTAAATTTTACTTAAAAAAAAACAGGAAAAATACTTTCCATAGCAGACGCTCCATATTTGAACAACTAGAAAAAATTCGGATCTCGCCTCCGGAATACCAAAAAAAAACGAAATGAAACCTCTAACGAAATGCCCGAACACGTGAAAAACGCCCCTTTTCGTCCCAAATACCCAACACCGCCTGGCGCATCCAATAACTCACCCCGGGTCGACGGCGTGCCGTTTTTGCGCAAATTGGCAAACATCCTACGCGAATGCATCCTGCGAAATGGGTCATAAAACCCGCTTTTCAAGCGCGTATGAAAGTACAGAGCGGGGGTGGCCGCAACACAAATATGCGGTGGTTGAGACGCGCGTTCCGGTACAACGGCGCGCCCTTAAATGAAAATATTACAAACCGCCCCCGAAAACTCATTTGCATGAGCCGATCAGCTGGGCGTTCGGTCATACTGGGTTTTATGAGTCGCTCCATGAGGTGGCCTGGCCACTGATAAACAACACACAAAGCCCCCGGAAAGTTTTGTGGTGTAAAACACTGGTCAAATGACTGGAACGTAATTATGAGTAACGACCGGCGCTTTTTAGGGGCGGTCGAAGAGGACTACAGATTTATCCAGGTGCTTATGCAATATCGGGTAGGATGACTTTTTTCCTTGGTAGCCTCCTTTGGAATGTAAACCAAGCACTGTTTCTACAATGTTTTTGCTCTTCCTAAACGTATAAACTTCATGAATTTTATGCCAATGAGTCCAAATTTTTTTTAGTCGTAATTAGCAGGTTCTTGATCACGAATTTAATTTGTGACATGTTTTCTAAATTTTAAAGAGCGCTCTCACTCGTGGCTGACAAAGTGTGCAAAAACACTATGAAGAAAACTTGCTTCGACTTTACTAGGCATAGCTTGACGTAGTACTAGGAACAATCCCCCCCCCCCCCCGATATTGTGAAAGCTCCGGCATGCCTCACGAAACTTTGAAAAACGTAGAAAGAAATTCTTTAATATGGATTTCCCCAAATTCAAAGACAAGGACCTGTAAAGTAGCGTTCGCCGATGTAATGGCCAAATATCGAGGTCGACCAATAGACGCGTATTTTTCGGAGAGGCTGTTTTTAGATCTCTGGAGCAGATTTTCCTATTTCACACCCGGATCCCAGGGAAAACGATTGCATAAATTGAACGCGGCGCTGAGAAACCCTCAGAAAAAAAGTTATGGATAACCGAAACACTGATTGATTCGGACAACGAGCCGAAATTCGGGTAAGAAAAAACTACACATTCTGGCCTTGGACTTACTGGCCAAAAATAATATGAATTTGGACAGATCGGGGCTCAAAATCATAAACCTGCCTTGTTATGAGCGTAGCTATGACGTATGAACCTGTCTAAACCGTTTTCTTAACAACAAAATGACCCCGGGGTAAAGTCAGCGCTACGAAAGCCAAAGTCGTAGTTCTTGCGTACCACCGGGCTTCACACAACTCAGGATGGTGATAGGGGGGGCGCGAGCAGCAAACAATGGCCGACCTCCAAACAACGGCCCATCGGTCAAATATGGGACTCGGCTCAAATACGCCGTCACATCCGCTTTTTGATAAAAATAAAACTAAGGTTTGGTGGGCCAATGGGGAAACAAAAATATAAATTTTAAGACCCGGTAGCTTGGAAGGCCGCTTGAAGCCTCTAGAAGTGTAACCCTGGGACCGAACCGCCGAAACGCCGTAACTCTACCTGGAATTACCAACTTCATTTCAATTTTGATGCAATTTTAAGCCTTTTTAGGCAATTTTCGAGCCCGATCTTGACCGATGACGAGGATGGGCAGTGGCGCCGGTAAACAGCTTCGCGACGCTCCGCTCGCTAAACCAAATATCGACCACATTTATTTTTGCAGCAATTTTAGGTGTATCCGATCCGTGGCTTTTTAATTTTGTAGCTTTGTAACCAGCATTCCGTGCAATTCGCGTTTGTACGTTCTCGCTCTGTGCTTTACCCTATGTTACCCGCGCCGGCTGTAAATTTCTGTAGTATTCGTGCCGAGTATAACGTGATGCCACCCATTATTCTGGTTCTCTTTGTGTTTTCCTTTCTCAAATATTGCTGGCAGAGCCAGATACGATTTTTTTCAGGTATAGTTTCATAAGAATCCTACTATCCTACTATATCCTACTATATATAAAAAAATAGTGTTTGTGTGTGTGTGTGTGTGATACTTTGCATGCAACTTCCGTCACCATGTCCGGAGGATATCTCGATAGGGAATAACTTTTAAGGTATATTTGATAGGTCATTAGGTGCGTAATGGCTCTGGGATGACTGCACGCTTATCAGATTTTACAAAACTAATTGTTTTAAATATTAGAATTTCAGTTTATGTAAAATTTCGGCCACCCTCTTTGTTAGGAAACAATTAGCATGCACCGGAAGTGGCGGTAGCCTATATAATCAGGTAGAGAGTGCCATTTTTCATTTTTTCTTATCGCAATTCGAAAGAAATATGCAAAGCGAAGAATTTTATGGAGTTAGACGGGGTTAGACGGGGCCGCTTCGCGACTTTTCAACCCTGGTTGTTATTAAAACATTATAAAAACTGCTAATTAATTTCTGTTTTTTTGTCTCATATTTAAATAAAGTTTTTCATACCCTTGCCACAAAACTACACTTGCCCTGACCCTTTCTTTGCCACGTCCTCGCGGTGGGGGGGGCCTTTTCTCGTGGCACGAGGTGCTGGGGATAATAGCGGATGTATTCAACTTGTCTGCTCATACCCACACAGCCATCATATGAGGAGTGCTCGAAAATGGGGTGGGCCCGGCCGGGTGAACCCGGATTTTTTCGGGGCGCCCCGGCGATTTAGCCCAACCAAACACAATCGACCGACCGGCAGCAACAATTCGGCTAGCAGCTTTGCAACATGTTGAACACGCCTGAGGTATCATTGCCTAGAAATTGCGTTGAAAATTTGTATAAAATTATGTAGGAGGGTTCTTTACATATTATCAACCACCGTATATATTAATCTAAATATTTAAAAAATGCAAAGTAGCAAAAAAAAGTTTTTTTGTTCACCTTAAAACTATTTTAAACTTAATTCAATGTTTGCCAGAAAAGCGTGAAATAATATTTTAGTGGTTTTCCAAACTTAGAAGGGTAAGAAAAAGATTTAAGAATTTTTACCACTAGAATATGAAAAACCAGTTTGGAAATTGGAAGGTGAAAACGGCTTTTAGACTTTTAGACAACCAAAAATCGATAAAAACCTTGTCGGGATCCTAACCTGTTAAAACTTACTTACCGCGTAATGACTTGCTTCTCAGCCCTCCAAGCCCGAAACCTCCACGCTTACCGATTTTTGCATCGAGTTCCAGAAGCCGGAGCCGTGCTATGTGTGGGGTGATTCCGTAAGCCGCCTAATTACGCCATACCGTAGCGGTGCCATTTAGATAAAAGGCAAAGTGATCATGAAAACGCAGCCCCAAACCCAACTCGACGTCATCTCCGTCAAGCTACTGATTTGCGGCTTCAACAAGCATAAAGCGCGTCAAAAAGTATGAGCCTTAGCGACTTTGCGATACGTTTTTAGGGTCCTCACACTGAAAATGCATTTATGAAAAAAGGAACGTTATATCTTGAATGGCCCGGTGACGTACTACGATGGAAAGAAGGAAATACCGTTTCAGGTTGATTTTCGGAAAATATTTGCCTTCGACGTGCCTTTATAAACTGGAAAACCTAGGAAACACTACCCCCAGATTTGGCCACGTCGGTGGAGACAAAGATCGGGGCGATTGCGTACTACTTGAAAGCTACATTGTTATACAAAAGTAAAGGTATCCTTTTGTAGATTGTTATTTATTACTGATGCTCCTTTCCAAGATCATTTTTCGATGTTTCGAAACCATTTTCAGACGGCTACGACACCAACGTGCACGCCGTGCGTGGCTTTACAGTAATCGAGGATTGTGACCTGAATTTAATGCCAAAAATTTGGTTCGAGGTATCAAGATTACTTCCCTGTAGCTTAAAGTATATTTTTGCTTCATCTAGGAGCGTAGCCAGGTGGTCCACCGGAAATTCGGGCTGTTCTCCTGCACCGGTGGGCTTGTGCGGTTGGCCATCGCGTTGAAGCAGAGTGCTTTTGCTCCGGGGAATATGTGAATATCACTGGTAGGTTATGCAATGAAATCTGATGCCGAAGCCCGAACACGAACCCAAGCCCAACAAGGAGCGCTTTTTTTGAGTCATCGGCAAAACCTGACGAGACCTAGTTCATTCGATAGAGAATTCAATTCTGAGCAAGACTCCGTTGTCCTTTTTTGCTGAATGGCTATCCCTGATTGTATAAAATTAAAATACTAGTGGCCGTCTCTTACCATGAGTGCCTTTCGAGCAAATAGAGAAGCTCTTGGGTGCAGTTTTGAAATTTTATAAAATCAAGGATAGCCATTCCGCAAAAAAGGACAACCGGGTCATGCTCAGAATCAATTCTCTATCGAATGAGATAGGTCTCGTAAGGTTTTGCCGATGACTCAACCTCCTTGTAAGCTCCTTGTAAAGCTCTCCTTGTAAGCCAACCAAACTTCAGGACGAATCGAAAACAAATCCGATAAACGCGTCGAGAAAGTCTCGGCCATCATCCAGCAACGGGCTCAAATAAAAGATGGAGACTCGGATAAAGTAAGAAAACCCTGCAACCGTATCTGGAGCACCTTTTAGGGCTCAGCCGACACGGACGTTGTGGAGGTATTCGAGGAGAGCCTGGCCCTATTTGTCGACCCGGGCGTAGTTCTGAAGATTGAAAAAAACATGCCGATCCCGGTGTTGCCGCCAAGGTACAAAAAGGCGCCTTTTTAAAACAATAACGATAATAATGAAATTCAGCACGCCACCCGATGATAATTTGCTAAATCGAGCCGCAAAGCGACGTATATCAATCGGTTTGTTCGAATTCTGTTTTTGAATTTTTGTTTGTAAAAATTTAGGACCCCTCCGCTCCAGAACCTCGCAACTCTCATTAAATTTATCGCAACTCAACCCAGCCAGACCCCTCACGATTTCCTACACGATTGCTTTTCGTGTGAAATGTGTAGGTGAGCGGGATTCCCAAGTTCAAAGAACTCGGAATGCAATTCGACACTGATTACGCTATGGAAAAGCTGATGGACGAGGTCAACGAGCCCTTTTTTGCATCTAATTAAACTACAAACTACAAAAATACAGTCTTATACGATTTATAATTACCAAAAATTCCAGGCGTCGACAACCTCGAAATTTGCTGGCCCATCGTTATCGGCTCGATTCCGCTGGCGGAAACCACCGAGAACAACGACCCACACCACACAACGCCCTTTTTCAAGCAGTGCAAGGTTTTTTTGATTAAGGATACTGTATTAAATGCTGTAAATAACGTTACAATTCAAGGTGATCAAACATTAAAATTTCAGCATGATCGACCCTCTGAGGTTCTCAACGTCGCTTCGATTAATAATATCGGGAAGACAAGGGTAAGAATAAAAAAAGTAGCGCTTTAACCAAATTTTATACCTTCTATAAGGTAGTATAATCAAAATACGTTCATGCTTTTTCTAGATAAGTTACATCAACAAGTACCCCTTTTTCTCCGACCTAAAAACCTCATCGAAACAGGGGAAGAAGATCTCACTTTGGGCGAATACGGTCAGGTAATAACCATTTTGAGCGCTTTTTCACAATTAAATGGCCGTTGTAATAAAATTATCAATAAAATTTTTTTAGAATGGAAACGAAATGGTTGAGCGCTGCGCGCGAGCAGCAGCGACGTGACAATACGGAGAAAAAACGGGTACTGTTATACGACGTCGGTTTTCCGTGCTTTTTCCTCGTTTTTAGCGGGGTTTTTCAATTGTGCAATTCAGGTAAATTTTTCCGACGTCCCAGAGTTCGACGGCAAGAAGGGCCACGAGGAAAAGGTAAGCAAATTGGCACAGTTTTCCTAAAAAACCTCCGCCAGCTTGCCTTCAACGAAATCACGCTCATTTAGGCGGGCGGATCTGTGGACGATTTGTCGGGTGTGATGCCAAATATGCCGTACGGAGCCGGATAAATTGTAATAATGCGTGAATGCTCTTTATAAAGCTAATATTGTGCATCAAACGTGTACCCGTCACGATCGCGGCTGATATATGGGTCCCGGTACGCTTGGTTACGGTCGAGGGAGGCTGAAAAAAGCATGAAAAATTATAACAAAGCATTACGGTTGTTTTATAAAGTTTAAAACAGTAAATTATGCTAATTTGGGCACGTAATTGACCAAATATACTCTGGCAAAACTCACTCATCGTCACGCGGGGCAATCCTTTACGATAGATCGTATCTGAGTCATAACCGTACGCGGGTGTAGCATGTACTTCTTTCATCTAAGATGTTTAATAGTGCTTTTAAATTTCAGTGTAAGTTTATTTTTTTAGTCAAATTTAATGCTATTACCTGCGGGTCGTCGAACAGCGCGTTGTCATAGGCTGCCGTAATTGGGCCGCTCGGGCCGGCGGTAAACCCCACTGAAAATTAAGTTAAGGGTTTTTTCATACTATTTAAAACATATTAAGAAAGTTCGCAACGTCGTATCGCTTACCAATTTCCGAAGCGCTTTGCGTAACCGTACGATAGTCCTTATAATCCCACAAATCAATCACAAACGTTGCAATTTCCAACAGCATCAACAGCGCCAAAATCCACTCGGAGAGCGTCGTGGCAATGTGATTGTTGTAGAACTGGAATTTTACGCTTAGCGTTACTTAGCGTATAGGGTGTCCCAACAAAAAAGATCACGCTGGCATTTCGCCATTTCCAATCTCATCGATCTGAAATTTGGGAAAGGGCTGCGGAAGGGAATTTAAAATGTTCACAGAGACTTTCAGCCCGATCGGCGCAGTAGTTTTCGAGTTATAGCAAAAATACTTTTTTTCAACACTTTTGCTTCATTTTTTCGGCTATCATTTTGGACTTTGCATCAATTAACATCAATTTCGGCTCTAAATCCCTCATTCTTCTTAACATCGGCGTCATGTAACCCTTGTTAAAATTACTTAAACAACCTATTTCCAAGCCGAATTTTACGAAATACAAAATTTTCTGGGGTAAAAAGGGTCGGCGCTTCATTTTTGCCATACATGGCGAGGCTCAGTTCCGGCGAAATCCAGGTTAAAAACGTAAAATAAAGTTTATTTTTTGTTATAACTCGAAAACTACTGTACCGATCCGCTGAAAGTTTCTGTGAACATTTTAAATTCCCTTCCGCAGCTCTGTTCAAAATTTCAAATTGAAATGGCAAAATGCCAGCGTGACCATTTTTTTGGGACACCCTGTATATTTATGGATCTGCTCATGACCTACCGGGCTGTCCACATCATACCGCTCGATCCCGTTCTCAAAATCGGGTTTGGTAGGCGTTAGGCCGCCCGGACTTTGGACGAATGGCTCGGCAAAAGACATATCATATCTGAAAATCATGATTTGTTATATCACGATTTACTGCTTATAAAACACTTACGAAATATCAAGATAGCCAATATCACGATGTTCAAGATAATTCTAATGAAGGTGTAGGACTGATGAACGATCTGATTCCGCAGCGCCAAACAGATGGCGTAATAGCCAAAGCAATAGAAGACGAATCCAAAGAAAAAGTGAAGGCGCCAGCGTCATGGGCGGCGAGTACGTTACCCTCCTAAAAACAATGCTTAGGCGCAGAAACAGGCTTGGGCTTAGCTTGGGCTTAGGTTAGGCTTAGGCTTAGGCTTAGGCCTAGGCTTAGGCTTAGGCCTAGGCTTAGGCTTACCCTAAGCCGAGGTATTGGCTAGGCTTGGCCGAACCTACCTGAAAATTCCCAACCACCAAAATCCCGAGCGCCGACAGCCAGCCGAGCAGCAGGATAAAATACGCAAATATCACAAGTCGAGAGTTTTGCTGAAAATAATTTTCTTTAATTTTTATAGGGTTTTTTCTTACGCTTCCGCAACGCCGTAAAATTTGACGGTGCAAGTAGTAGACAGTTAATGCCCCTAAAGTTAAGTTTTTGAATAAACAAAAGTTTAGGCTTACAGGCAAAAGCCCCAATAGCCATGAAAGTTCCAAAAATACAGCTCTCCGGGGGTAGATTGCCGCAATCACTGAAGTTTGTAAAATTTTATACCAATTGCATACCTAATATAGGGCAACCACGCATCCACATGATCATTCCCAACGGCTATGCCATAACTGAAAAATATGGATTTTGAGCTTCTTTTGCATTATCGGGGGGCGGACTTTTTCTGTACCTAATCACTCACTATTTTCCTTTGAAAAAATTTTTTAGTATAAATATGCTTTATAAAGCTACAAAACTCGAAAATTTCGGACTTTTGGAAAATTTTTTACAGCACTTCAAAAACAGCTAAATTTTAATAAGAACACAATGAAAATACTGACTATTACAGCAAAGGAACCGCCCCGCCCCCCGATAATGCGAAAGAACTGTAGTTTCGTTTTTCAAGGTTCACTGCCAACTTACCATACAAAAAACGATATTAACAACGAGACAACACAAATTAACGGTGCGTAGATGGCGTGGCACATTGCTAAAAAGTTACTTTTCGCAAAAGGGGTTATTTCGGGCCCGGATACAAGCAGTCAAAGTTAGAATGGCTAGGACTAGCTAACCTGCCTTTCAAAAATCTCGGAGAAACAGCGCTTTGGCGGCGTATCAAAGCCAAGAGGCTAGCGCTAGGCAATTCGCTGGGCGACCCGGAATCTCGGAATTCTGGAGGCGTGATAAGAATTGGCTTTGACCATTTTGAGGGGATAGGCATTCGGCCAATGGGTTGGCACTACCACCAGCTCGTAAAAAAACATAACTTTTGATGGATTGTTTAAATTAAAAGTTTTGCAGATTCGCTTGCAGCCTACCACATTTTTATTAATAGAAATCGTGACGTTGGAATGACGAGGAAAGGCTTATTTCATGCATCTTTTTCTTTAAAGCTGCGTCAAAGTCTGTCAAATTCGGAAATAACAAGCGGAAACAACAGCGAAAATGCCGATTCCTGAGCATTTCCGGGCAGTGAGGCCCGAATCTTCTCCTTACAATCTATTTTACCAAAAATAAATACAGAAGGCGTCCCTAAACAGTTTTTTTTGCTATTTATAAGCGCAAAAACTGCCAAAATTTACGAAAAAATATCCTTTTCGGCCAAAATTTCAACATTTTAAAGGTTTTAACAGTTTCTAAGCAGTTTCCCCCTTTATTTATAGCTAAATTTTACTTAAAAAAAAACAGGAAAATACTTTCCATAGCAGACGCTCCATATTTGAACAACTAGAAAAAATTCGGATCTCGCCTCCGGAATACCAAAAAAAAACGAAATGAAACCTCTAACGAAATGCCCGAACACGTGAAAAACGCCCCTTTTCGTCCCAAATACCCAACACCGCCTGGCGCATCCAATAACTCACCCCGGGTCGATGGCGGGCCGTTTTTGCGCAAATTGGCAAACATCCTACGCGAATGCATCCAGCGAAATGGGTCATAAAACCCGCTTTTCAAGCGCGTATGAAAGTACAGAGCGGGGGTGGCCGCAACACAAATATGCGGTGGTTGAGACGCGCGTTCCGGTACAACGGCGCGCCCTTAAATGAAAATATTACAAACCGCCCCCCGAAAACTCATTTGCATGAGCCGATCAGCTGGGCGTTCGGTCATACTGGGTTTTATGAGTCGCTCCATGAGGTGGCCTGGCCACTGATAAACAACACACAAAGCCCCCGGAAAGTTTTGTGGTGTAAAACACTGGTCAAATGACTGGAACGTAATTATGAGTAACGACCGGCGCTTTTTAGGGGCGGTCGAAGAGGGCTACAGATTTATCCAGGTGCTTATGCAATATCGGGTAGGATGACTTTTTTTCCTTGGTAGCCTCCTTTGGAATATAAACCAAGCACTGTTTCTACAATGTTTTTGCTCTTCCTAAACGTATAAACTTCATGAATTTTATGCCAATGAGTCCAAATTTTTTTTAGTCGTAATTAGCAGGTTCTTGATCACGAATTTAATTTGTGACATGTTTTTCTAAATTTTAAAGAGCGCTCTCACTCGTGGCTGACAAAGTGTGCAAAAACACTATGAAGAAAACTTGCTTCGACTTTACTAGGCATAGCTTGACGTAGTACTAGGAACAATCCCCCCCCGATATTGTGAAAGCTCCGGCATGCCTCACGAAACTTCGAAAAACGTAGAAAGAAATTCTTTAATATGGATTTCCCCCAAATTCAAGACAAGGACCTGTAAAGTAGCGTTCGCCGATGTAATAGGCCAAATATCGAGGTCGACCAATAGACGCGTATTTTTCGGAGAGGCTGTTTTAGATCTCTGGAGCAGATTTTCCTATTTCACACCCGGATCCCAGGGAAAACGATTGCATAAATTGAACGCGGCGCTGAGAAACCCTCAGAAAAAAGTTATGGATAACCGAAACACTGATTGATTCGGACAACGAGCCGAAATTCGGGTAAGAAAAAACTACACATTCTGGCCTTGGACTTACTGGCCAAAAATAATATGAATTTGGACAGATCGGGGCTCAAAATCATAAACCTGCCTTGTTATGAGCGTAGCTATGACGTATGAACCTGTCTAAACCGTTTTCTAACAACAAAAAATGACCCCGGGGTAAAGTCAGCGCTACGAAAGCCAAAGTCGTAGTTCTTGCGTACCACCGGGCTTCACACAACTCAGGATGGTGATAGGGGGGGCGCGAGCAGCAAACAATGGCCGACCTCCAAACAACGGCCCATCGGTCAAATATGGGACTCGGCTCAAATACGCCGTCACATCCGCTTTTTGATAAAAATAAAACTAAGGTTTGGTGGGCCAATGGGGAAACAAAAATATAAATTTTAAGACCCGGTAGCTTTGGAGGACCTTTGAAGCATCTGGAAGTGTAACCCTGGGAACCGCCGAAACGCCGTAACTCTACCTGGAATTACCAACTTCATTTCAATTTTGATGCAATTTTAAGCCTTTTTTGGCAATTTTTGAGCCCGAGCGCGACCGATGTAGAGGATGGGCAGCGGCGCCAGTAAACAGCTTCGCGACGCTCCGCTCGCTCAACCAAATATCGACCACATTTATTTTTGCAGCAATTTTAGGTGTATCCTATCCGTGGCTTTTAATTTTGTAGCTTTGTAACCAGCATTCCGTGCAATTCGCGTTTGTACGTTCTCGTTCTGTGCTTTACCCTATGTTACGCGCGCCAGCTGTAAATTTCTGTAGTATGCGGGCCGAGTATAGCGTGATGCCACCAATTATTCTGCGGATGCTGTCATGTGTCTCCGCATTTAAAGGGGCCCCGAAATCTGGTCCAGGGCACCCTGCTGTGATTCCTGATAGCCAGATCCGACCGCAACGCGAACGCGTCGGACGGTCTTTTGCCCCTGTTTGGACGCCAAAACACTTAAATTTAAAAATTTTGATGCTATTTTTGGAATCTTCACCGAATTGTGACCATTCTAGACTTTTAAATTATGAAAATTGACCGGAGAATCGCCGAGATCGAGAGATTGGGTGCCTTAAAAGGCATTACGACAGGTAATCGCCGCGTACTCAAAATGTCATTTTCGCCCCAAAAAGAATTCGGATTTTCTCAAATATTTTACGTTTTGCCGCAATAAAATCACTTTTCTGGCGCTTCTCGGCAGTGACCCATGCGTTTTTTGACTAGTAGGTTGAATCCCGGCAGGCACGAATTTTGACTTCTGAGCCCCTTTAATCATACATTTATCGGTATCGTGGATTCGCAGATCATTGGGGGGGTTGGTTCATGGGAGGGTCAGTATTTGCTTTCATAGTATGTGAACGGCGGGATATAGCTATCAGGACTGTAGTAGGAGGTGGGGCCGCTGATCTAAAAATGATGGCATTATATAAAAACTAGGAATTATATAAAATAGACAGTCTATGACAGGTCGCTCTCAAAAACGCACTGCATCAAATTGAACTTGAGATTTTTCGCCTCAATTTTGCTTGACTAGAATATGGAGAAAAGGATAGTATATAGCACGCCAGACCAATCTCAACTCCCCTCACCTTACCCTTTCAATGCATCGAGCATACCGTTTCGTAGATGCACTACGACAAGTCAATTCGGTACCGGGGGCTTGGATTTCTCGAACGACTCGCGCAACACGCGCGCCACGTAGGCCCTCACCTGGCTTGCCGCTGAACTCTCGGCGCTCGAGGCTTGGAGTTCGCGCTGTTGGATGCGCTCCTTGTGCCGGTTCAACATCCAGAGGGCGAACAGTGCGACGATGGCGAACAGAATTAGGAGGATGAAGGCGACGAGAAGGCCGATTGCCCAGCCGTACCCGGCGGCTTGTCTGAAATTGTTGCTTTTTGCTAGGTTAACCTTCGCTCCAAAAATCTGCGGCTTCTGACTCTCCAGTTTTCATTACTTACGCGGTAAGATCCTCGGGCGTGCAGCACCCGCTTGGACAGCACCCTAATTCGCATAGGTACGGAATCGGGCCGTCCCCATGGAGGTTGTTATAATAACAGATCGTCTGGTCATCTGTAAACCAGGATTTGTAGATTATTTTCTGCAGAATTTTTTTATAATTTATTTAAATTTTATTCTAATTTGACAACAAACCTGAGATCTCTTGCCGTATCAGCGAGCCGAGATTCCGTCTGATTGAGTGCATCACCGAGCTGGTGGGGAGGGTCGGGCTGGAAATTTCGTTGCTACTGTTTCGAAAGTTTCGATTTTTAGGTCACGTGTAATTCTTAGGCTTACGGTATCGTCGTCTGGGCCAGGTACTGCTGCTCCTGCTCGCTGATCGGCAGCTCGTCCCAGCGTGACGACATCGTGAGAAAGCTTCCTTTTAGGTTTCTCTGGATTTAGAATCGATTTCTGGAATTAAATAAAAGTAAGGGTAATTTTTTGAGAGGGCGCTGCGAAAATTTAGAAATCACTTCACCAAGAAGCAAAGCACAAAAAAGGAGTAGGAGTTCAGATGCGTGTTTCCGGCACCAACCCGTTAAATTCCCCTAACGCTTTAGTGGAACATCGTTTTGAAAATCAGAAAAAACTCTATTTAAGACGCTGTATCCAGGCCTGGACGAAATGCGGGCCGGGCCGGCCGACCTTTTTGGCGATGTTCCAAAACCCGGTTTGTAAGGGGAAATTGAGCGCAATTTTGGATATTTTACGTGCCTAAATAGCCTAGTTATGCTTGTTATATCACTTGAGTACATTTTTGGTTTATCTGGCTTCATTCAGTACCAAGGAATCTACCCAGGTTCGCCCCGCCGGCGTCAGCTTTTGTTTTTTTTTGGTTTGTTTGCGGCAGGGGAACCGATCTCACGATTGATTTTTTAATTGCAATAGCGTAAGTGTTTGTAAACTGTTTTTAATATGCCTAAACGTAAAAAAAAACCTGAAAATTGATGCTACAAAAGTTAGAAAACCCTCGATTTTAGGCCAAAAACTCGTGGTAATGCTAAAATTTAAAATTATTTTTGCGAAAAGTTCTGTAAAAATTGTTCACCAACACCTGTTCACATCAACCTGTATTGCCATTGG